AAAAAAAAAAAAAAAAAAAAATTGAACATACAATAAAAAAATAAAGTTTGAACAAATAGTGACAAGAAAAAAAAAAAAAAAAAAACAAAACAAAACAAAAAAACAAAAAAACCAAAAAAAAACCAAAAGAAAATTTGTCGATACTTTAATGGTTGATAATAGAATAATAACAATGATAAAAAAAATCAAGTGCCATGAAAAACCAACACCTTAACTTGAACAATAATACTATTCATCCTCTAACTAAAGAAGAATGGGAACGAGATTATATCAACAACAAGAGCATCTATATTATAGCATACTCTTAAGTAAGACGCCACAACCACAAAAGAAAGAACTTCTAGGAATAGCATTGTAGAAGTGCCTTAAATGAGAATACTTTACTCTTTCAACTAGATTGTAATGCTAGAAAAAAATATATATATCTTGTATCAATGTACTACAGTAGCAATACCTCAACTAGTAACTCTACAATGTAAAAGATATCGTTACACCGCAACTACACTTCAACTACCAAAAATAAAGTTTCAAAGTACACATCCTACAAAAGAAAAAAAACAAAACAAAAACAAAAACAAAAAAACAAAACAAAACAAAACAAAACAAAAAAACAAAAAGAAAGAGAAAAAAATGAGGCTCAAGGCACACTTTGTTAGATCCCAATAGCATTTTTTCAAAAAATTAGGATTAGCCTTCACTTCCAAAAAATCCAAGAAGGAATAGATCCTCTCATTTATTTATTTTTTTCTTCTATTTTCTTCTAATTCTTCCTTCTATTTTTTCAATCCTTTTGATTTGACCAAATTAAGTTTATATTTAGTTGCTAATCTAATTAATTGTTGATAAAAAAATATAAATAAATAAATAAAAACTATTATAAAAAATATTATAAATCTATATCAGCTAAATTAAAGATCAACTATTTACTATAGAATTCTTTCTCAAAGAAACCCTATCAAAGATCACTTTTTGTATTGATATCCTATACTTTACTATTTATGTCCAAACTTGCTATATTAATTCCTTAATTAGTGACCTAAAGCACCATAAGTGTCTTTTTTTTGTATTAAAATATACTAATGAGTCAATTGTCAATTGTGTGACTCACACTCTTTCTTGCTCTCACTCATTCTCACTCATATAGATACATACTCTCTCTTTCTTTCTCTCTCTCCTTTTCTTACACACACATATTCACTTACACACTTTCTCTCTTACATATATATATATGTATACAACACTCTTTTTTTCTCCACACACACTCTCTCTCATATATATATATATATATATATGCATATATACACACTCTCTTTCTCCCTTACGCACATACATACACTCACTCTCTTTCTCTCCCACACACACTTCAAACAGATGACTCTACCAAACCCTAAAATCAATCACTTAAGGGGGGTTAGCCCTTAATCTTCATTATGTCCCCCTCTCTTTTCCCACTTGGGGCAGGGAGGCCGGGTGGGCCCATGGCGGTGGCCCGTTTCTGACTGCCTGGATTGGTTACCGAGTCAAGATGTGTGTATTTACATTTATATTTATATATCATACAGACAATTAAATTGGATGGGATGGGGGACGTGTGACGCTCCACTAACTTGGCTTGCTGGATGCTTTCGGCCCTTTCTGACAACTTTGAAGTCCTAGTTCTCACTCCCGCCAAATATAGCTGAAACCCCTAAATATAGTGGTCCCCACTATCCCAGATTCCACTATGGGAGGACCCTTAATGGAGCTTTCCGCCACTGCTCAATATGTCTCTTCCATTCAAAGTAAAAAAAATACAAGATCACCCACAAGTGTTATTTATTATGGGGGGGGGGGGGGTGAGGAGCAATAGACGTGGGTAAGTGGGGGTAAAATATAGCCTACTGTCACTGCCCCTCAAAACCTGTAAAGATTTCTCCTTACTTTTATTTGGTTTTTTGTTTTGGTTTTTGTTTCTTGCTGGTAATTATGGAAAGGGATATCACAATGCAAAACTTGTAACTACCTGTCATGCCACTCTATTTTAGTGGCCCACTAATTGCGCTACAAATCCCACCTCTGCTCCCCTGTTATTGCCATCCCTCCAATTAGCTCTGCGTTTAGAAGTGTTTTGTGTATGTTGGGGTTTTAGTGGGATTTGTTAGTGGATAGGTTAGTGGATATGTTGCATCGTTAATTGCAAATTTCCTGGAATTGCACTTCTTCCAAAAATGGGTTTTTCTTTTGATGATATTAAAAGAATGTCTTTACGTTTCTTGTGTTTAATGCAGAATCAATATTGTGAAGAATTGGTTCACAATATACACAATGTGGGTATTCAAAAGCTTAGTTTTTTTATGCAGTTTGATCAGACACATATTTGAAAGAAAACCAAAAGAGCACACACACACACACACACACATGTATGTATGTTTGCATGTGTATATAATAATATATATATATGACCTATTTTGGGGGGATATGAATAAAATATCAAGTGCTAGCATGGGATGTGTTGCATTTAGTCCTCAATTTCATGGTTCAATCAATAATTGGCTGTAAAGAATAAAGTGCACTGTTCACCCTCACCATTCAAATCAAGCTTCAATTTCTAACCCATGTTGATTGTCCCCTATCCTAGTCAGAAAATCTTTTTTGTCAGTCATTCATGTAATGAATGAATATACTATATTACAAGTAAACAACCCAACACTAATCCATCAATCCTTTCGTTAGTAAGATACCTTATTTCCATTACCAGATGTTCCATCATGGAGGCTTTGGGGAAATGAATGAGACTTGACCCATTTATACATATATTCTATTTCGTTAACCTGCTTCGATGACACCTTCAACGGGATGAAAAACTTTTACTTTAATTTTATGTATCCCAATGCTAGCTTATGTGAATTATAATGGTTTCTTTGATGGAATTTCAGGAAATCTCAGTAAATCCAGCAACTTGTTTGGTATAAAGTATTTTGGTGAAATAACCTGTTCTCTTTTCTTTCTACGTTCTTTAAGTATTACTATGTTTGTGTGTTTTCCATGACCACGATAATGTAGCCATTCTTCTCAAAAACTTTGCTTGAAGATTTTGAAACATTCATTGATTAAATATCCACCAAAAAATAAAAAATAAACATGGGTTTCCTGTACAAACAAATTGTTTCTCTAAAGCATGACTTATGTAATTATACTGTTATGTTTATTATTTTAAAAAAATTATCCGTGTATGTGTATATATATTGAGAGTGAGAGAGAGAAAGACTAATTTCAAATTGCAGAACACTGATGTGCTGGTAATTCTCAACAAAATAATATCAACAATCATATACAACTTACATGTGCTTTTATAATCACAAACAACTTGTATATGCTTTTCCAGTGTACTCTACACAACTGGTCTACATATTCCATATTTCAACTTTTGCTAAGTATGGCATTGTAGCATTCAAAATACACTGTTCAAAATTTAGTTAACACGGAGATAGTGATTAGTTATTAAAATTAGAGTATTCTAAAATAAAACTAATTGAATTTGATTTGCCATTAACGCTGTTTCCAATAATACAAAGTCAATCGTATTCAATCTGATTCCTATTATATACCTGAATCAAATTTGTCGTTTTGAAGCCTGTTCATAGAAATATCTTAAATGCAATCCGTATTCCTCTCCATGATTTCAATTTCCTATTGTGAAGTGATATGGGTAGTTAATATTGTGAAACAAATGTGACGTTCAGTTATTCGTTTAAGTGACCAACATCAAATTGTACATGTATGTTGAAAACTTAATTATTATTAATTTTAAAAAATTTAGACTTCATGCATAGAGGAAGTGATGACTAATATAAAACAAGCACAAAATTGCTTACAATGAACAGATATGGTTTTATTTACCACTACAATTTAGATTGTACAAAAACCATTGTCAAAGCTCATACAATATTGAAGATCACACACTTACAAATCTAATATAGAGGGCACAACCCAATCATAAAAAGTTGTTGTTTAATTATAAACAAAAATTCCACAAAACTACGTTTACTTATTCTTGTTTTTCTCTCATGCATTGCAAAATTAGCACTGAAATTATTTTTAAAAAAATGTTGGCCAAATTACCTTACATCTATCACATTGCAATCTTTTTTAGAATACATAATGTTGTGAAAATAAATAAACACACAAAGATGCTTGAGAAATGAAAAACAAAGGTATTACAACGCACATCAGCAACTCGATACCAAGAAATAAAATAGAACAAAATAAAAATGGAACAAGCAAAAATTCACAAAAATATAATTTGTCTGAATCAAATATCACATGCAATTGACTATGCAACTTTGTAATAATAGAAAAAATTAAAAAATCTTATCAAAGCATGTCAATGAGATTTGAAACCTGTCTGAAGCACGAGGCAACATGCTAAAAACAGGAGAAAAAAGCTTAAAAAAAGTATGGAAAGAAAAGATAAGATAAAAGGAAAAGATCACAAATATTACAACAATATACCCACTTCATGAACGACCCCCCTTACAAGTATCGCCCACACCACGCAGTACATAAATAGTTACCGAAATATACAAAGATGTACGAATACTGAACGGAAAACCACATCCATCCATGTTCATTCATCCATCACGAGCTGGATCAAGCATCATTGAGGAGGGCGTGCGAGGGGGCGAAGAAGGCACAGCAATGGCGATGAAGCGAAGCAGGTGTCACAGGGCGGATTAAAGCGAGCGAGGGAGTATCAGATGAGCCCAGAATCAGAGACAGGTCTTATCGTGTTATATTAGTAGACCCATTCTGACTAGACTTGGTGGGACAGACAGTAGATCAGGGGCTCAGCTTGCTTTTGGAGCCCCAGCAGCCAGTAGATTAGCTGCAAAGGAGCGCGAGACACGCCCCACATACCGTGACAATTTTTACTGCCAGGCGCGGAAGGACCCTATTATCCTATTCAATGATGGTCTAATGACACCCCAATATAATATTCCAGTGAGAGCGTCCACGGAGAACCTCGGAGGAAACAGCAAACGGTCGGTTCCACGAGCCCACCCAGAACAGTAGGCAGACTCTGTTTCAGTGGCAATCGCTTGCAATAATGCCCTTTTCTTTGCTCCTAGGTTACGATCAGACCCTGAGCCACGCGCAGGATCGCTGTTGTATCTGATCCGATTCCCTATACTAAAGATGTGCTGTGAAGCGTAAGAAGTTGCAGTCGTTTCTTTCAGCAGCAGCCAGCCAGCCGCTTGACGGGTTTAGCCTGAAGCTCTGAAGCTCTCGTTCTTTCACCATATTCATCACCACAACTACCACTGCCTCGTCGGAGCATTCGCTTTTGTTTTTTCCCGCACCAGTGTTCTTCTCTCCACTTGCCTGGCTCTTACTTATGTACCGAATCTTACGCATGATCGACGCTGGGGGAAGGTGTAATGTTCATGGCAAGGCAGGGAAGTTTTCGAAGCACCTGACAAGGAGGAGGTGTAGGAGCACTTGGGCCTAGCTTTGCAACTTTATGGCAGTGTGGGGGAGGATTGCAAGTTTTTAGGAACATGTGTGTCTGCACATGTGGACGTTACTGTCTCGAGGGTATTACTGCGTCAACGTTGTTCAAGAGTTAATCTTTGGTGAAGTTTTAGTGGAGGGTCAAGGCGGTGATTTTAAAAAGGGAGCTCGATTACTGGTGGTGGTGCGGACATTTCTACTGAAAGCCGGATCGTATGTGGAGTGTTAGATTTTTCTGGATGTGTTGGATGTGAACTTTCAAGTGCCGGAGGTGAAAGCCTGGACGTCGTTCAGGTGGAATGGAGGAGAGGAGAGGCACCAGTGGGTTTCCTCACACAGTATGATGCGGGTGATGCGCTGTGCCTGTTTGTAGTGAGGGAAGGGAATTGGTCTTCTTTTCTGGTTTGTGGGACTTGGGGTTTGTACAGTTTCGTGTCTTGGCGGCTGTGAGATTGCGGTGCGCATGGAGCTCGAATGCTGCAAGTTAGGACGAGTTGTGTGACCTTCACTTCAGGAGAGAGGGAGAGAGCCAGAGGAGATCTGGGCAGTTGGCAAGTGGGTTTGAAGTTTTGGTGGAAAGTAGTGACGGAGATTGGAGGCTTGTATGAAATTGGTACTCTAGCCATCCCAGTTGGTCGCTGAGATGGCAGACAGGCTCAGCTGAATCATCGTAGGGCGCATTCACGGTGAATTCGACATTTCTACTTATGAAGTGCCGTTTTATCTGAGGCACAGAGCGAGGGAGCGTTGAGCGGTTTCAACTCCAAGGTTTTAGAAGTGGATTATGCTCAAACTTTCATCACTGGCAAGATCTGAATCGTGAGATTAGGATACTAGGAAAAGATTGAGGCTGTCAACTCGAGTGTTCAAGCAAGTGAGAATACCTCGTGTGAATTTTTTATATGCATTCACCCCCACTCTTGCCGTCGCCAACCGGTTTCTGTTACAGTTTCAGGGTCGAGGGAGTGGATCTGGTCACTTGGATAGGAAACTGCAGCAGAAGTTTCTGCGAATGTAAGCTTTGTGATACAGTGTTTCTTTCATGAGTCTGATGTGGAGAGGAGCAAGTACAGCGCAGAGACAAGGAGCTATAGAGAGTTCGAGCTACCAGCCTTTTGTCCCACAAAACAGCTAGTCGCATCTTTATCATCATCATCATCACAGGAAACTCAAGATGGTGTAGAGCGTTGAAAGGGTTCATTGTTTGTGGAACATACTCTTTGTGGGACTCATCAAAACACAGTGAGCAACGCAATTGTGGCCAGGCCCTAGCACCGCACTTATTTACACGTCCCTTACACCTTGTTAGATTCTTTGAAAGAGTCCCGTGCTTTTAGAGTGCCTCTAATTTCGGTGCACTTGTTAATTGTGCTCCAATTATACTTGTGATCGCGGAGATCACCGATCCATCGTATCAGAACCATGAACCATATTTGGGTGCGGTAGGATTATTCATAGACTTCTCAGCCAGATTTATTATACACTTAGCCGGACACACTTGCAGTAGAGTTGTCTTGGCAATATCTCGGGTGAAAGATTCTGAATCAAACCACTGTCACGATGTCACGTTTGTTGATGATAGGGCATTTTGTGTGCACGGTTTAACATGAATATCTCCATCTGAAGCGGGTGGCCAAGTACAATCTTTTTCCTCTGGTGCCTCAATCATGACTCCTGGATCACAGAGCCACGGCTCATGTCATCGACAGTCCCAACAATAGTAACTTATTACAAGGGGTTTGATTCTTCGACTTTCGCACCTTAGTGATGCAATAAAGCTCGAGGCTGTGGCTGGAGATCGAGATGCAGAGATCCCAGCAGCACAGCTCCCACATGGCGCCAGGTGACACTGATTCGTTAAGAACACTTTCGTTAGATTTTCTGAGCCTGCTCGGTGAAGGCCAGGTGTTTAGTGATGTCGCCTTCGAGGTGGAGGGTCGTCACGTGTACGCTCACAGGTGCGTGCTCGCAGCGAGAAGCCCTTTTTTTCGGACGATTTTTTGGAGCGATGTGCAGATGATGAGCAACACCCAACCCAAGCCTAGCATACCGCAAGTGATTTCGGTGGGGATTGTAGGCTATGATGTCTTCATGACACTATTGCAATTTCTATACAGTGGAAGCTTCCAGTTCTCTGCCCAAAGTAGTGGCCGCTTATGCCAAGACAAGTCCTGCTGGCACACCCATTGTAGCGCCGCGGTCAAGTTCGGTCTGGATATTTTGAATGCTGCGGTCTTCTTTGGCGTGGAACAGCTCTCCGCCATCACTCAGGTCATTCTCTTTCAAGTGGTTCTAATCAGAATATTGAAGCTCAAATGTGTTCAATTTTTGTTTTTTTCGTACCGTGTCTCGTGTTTTGTTTCAAATTATTTTTTTCTTGGGTTCCAGTGGGACTTGTGCCTAATTCCGAATGGACTGGTTGCAGAACCACCTAGCCTCTATGGCCGAGAAAGCTTCCATCGAGGACGTGATGCGCATGCTGGTGATTGCAAGGAAGCAAAACGATTTGCATCTCTGGCATCTTTGCTCAAAGCTGGTTGCCAAATCTGGTCTCTCCCCGAAGATGCTCCTGAAGTATCTCCCGGGGGATTTAGTTCAAGAACTGCAGTCCATTCGTCAGAAGACTGGATACAACTCCGACACAACAGCATCCGGGAGCGCAACCTTGGAGCAGAAAATCAAGCGCATGCAGAAAGCACTAGACTCGTCAGACGTGGAGCTGGTCAAGCTCATGGTGATGGGCGAAGGTCTGAATTTAGACGAAGTTTTTGGTCTGCACTATGCCGTCAGTAGCTGCAGCAGGTAATCATCTCCCCCGCTATTTCTCAACAAATCCTTCATCTGATGTGAAACATGATTAGGGCTTAGAGCTCACCATTGCTAAGAGTGTCGCCCTGTGCTACGATTTGCAGAAAAGTAGTCAAGAATCTACTGGAACTGGGAGCAGCGAATGTGAACCTTCAGGACCTCGACGGTCGAACTCCCCTCCACATAGCAGCGCAGCTAGGCGATCCCGAGAAGATAGCTATGCTGTTGGACCACCATGCTGAGCCCCACACGCGAACGGCTACTTGTGCAACTGCAATGGACATAGTGCAATCTGGGGCGGCTGAAATTCAATCTGCTGGACGGTACAACACCAAAGCTGATCACAACAGGTTGCGTGCCTGCATGGAGCTTCTTGAACGAGCCGCGTTGGCATCGACGCGGCTTACGCACACCAGAAGCGCCGCGGTAGTGGACACGGGTAGCCCAGCGTCAATACTTACAGAAAACGGCAGCAGTACGTGGTTCCCGGAGGAGAGCGACAACTTTCAAGGCTCGATGAGTCGAATGAAGAGCGCCGGAACACCTGGGCTTCTTCAAAGCGGCAACGACATCTTTAGTTCTCTTTGGAATGGGCTTCCTGGGAAAGGTATGAAACGTCCGCCTACCGAGCTTGTGCCGATCTCCAGGAATCTGGCTGAAAAGGTTTCATGGCCATGGTAGAATGAATCTCATGACTCTTCCTCATTGGTATTTCTTTGGACAGTTCATGGCACAGAAACAACTGAGAGGGGTGAAGCCAGTCGTAGCCCCATTTCAAGGCTACTTCAACCCAACTCAGAGTTTGAATACTTCGACACTCAGCAGCTGCAATCTGAGTCTTGTAGCCTCACCAGTAAACCCACCATGCTGGAGACTTCGAGCCTGGATGAAAGACCACGCGAAATGTCGCGCGTGTTCGTGGACCTGAAGGATCTACCGGTGTTGAGGGATGTGAGGGAAGTGGTGTTCAAGGATATCAAGGATATCACCAACGACGCACTGGAGAACTTTAAGAGAGTGTACACTCCCAATGACGAGGAAGTTAACTCCGGGTGGCAGCTCTTCCTGCAAGAGCATTCTGAAGCAGCAGCCCTTCGAACCCCTTAGCTCTCGCAAGATCTGTGGATTCTGTTTACTTAAACTTCCTCAGGAGATTTTTACAACTTTGCCTGCAATCTGCCGATAAGCATCGAGGCCAAGTCATTGGACTGTTGATAGCAGGTTATATTGGAATGCTACGCGGATTCTGCATGTCATCAACAACTGGTTGAATACGTGAGCGTCCTTATCTGAGCCCCTTTGGAAGAACAGCTCTATGTGGAATTGTTTCAGCAAAAACTGGTGTGTAGGTGGGGTATGTGAAGTATACTAGAGGGACAGGGGGGGGGGAGGGGGGTTACTGGTCATTAGTAGTAGCCAATAAGTGTATGATACCAGGTGCTAAAGGAGCGCCTGTACATGTGCATTTGTACAGTTGAAATCTAATTACACAAGCTTGTGGCGAACACAGATCAGGCAGCGCTTGACCCTTTCGAAGGTTCGTTTGTTCATCTCGGAGCTTACTTGGAAGTGCTTGTGATCTTTAGAGCCCTGGCTTTTCCAGTTTTTTCCACAAGCCACCAATCGTTGTTTTCACATTGTCTTAGCATTCCTGACTATCCTGCGTGAGATTTCCACGATTTCGTGAATGATCCCCTCGTGCAAACCGACTATGATTCTGATATACCATCGGCCATCCGAAACTCTGCATGAAGTCGCTCATCATATTTGGCTCAGCCAGATTCTTTCGCGCGATGTCGCTTGAAGGAGACCCGAACAACCCAAAATTTGGCGCGGGAACACTGGAATGCCGAACGAGGAAGCGTAAGTTTGTGGACTCGAAATAACTAACGGGTTCAAGGTCACTTTCAGGTGAGTACTTGCTCTCTTTGTGTCTGGTTTGTGATAGTGCTATTTGCGTCATTGCTAGGCGCACTAATTGTGCCAGTAACGAAGGGATAATTACAATATCATCCTATCAAATGGTACCTGTTGTGCAGAATCTTTGACTCCTACATATGCATTGGTTATATCATTTCTACAGAGAAATAACATCATGATCGATAATAGAGTTAATAGAAATGATGAACAAACCATCCTCATGACGTTCATTTGGAGTTTCGGAACATGTAGGAAGCTCCACGGTGGGAAAGCGTGAAGTCAGGCCCTGACTTGAACATCAGAGGAATGTTCACATGCTTCATTCTCTTGCAAATCTGCGACAAGTTATTTAAGAACGTTTGAGTTGCCAAGCTCTTCATTATCGTTGTAGTGACAAACCTCAACATTTTACTGAAGTTACCAAGGATACGGAAATGGGTGGACTGGCCAAACAAATTTTCTGACACGAAAGTAGAAGCACCCACAAGCAACAGTCAGAGTAGAAACTTTCAGGACACATCATCGTAAACTCTAGAATTTTTTGAGTACTGTAGTAAAAGATCCTGTTGGTGCTTGGAGATCAGGATGGAGTTGTAGCTACTTTGATTTGAGAGATTTGAGTTATCCAGTACCCGTGCCTATTCTGTAAGTTAATAGTTTCATGGACGACATGTAACTCCAAAACTTGTAACATATCTATTAAGTATTTTAGTTCTCTGTGAATAGTAAACCTTCCTTGCCTGTTGCAATGAAAAACACATATGAGATTTCAGAATGAGCTCACAAAAGACATCAATTTACTTGTCCTTCTGATTCGCTCACAGCCATTGGTGCAGAATGGGTGCACGTCGTGTAGTGTGCACGTTGTGTTGTGTGCATTTGTTGTGTTTTTTACGCTAAACAAGTAGTTGCTTACTTACTGCTCAAACACTGTGGAGATATTTCCCACCCCAGCAGAGAACATTGCTGCTGTTTCAAATTTGATCAAAAATTAATAATGTTAACCAGTTGAGAGTGATTATTCTTTAGCAATATCACTTTATGAAAATTCTTAAATTTTAAATATAAATAAATAAACATGTATACATATAAAGTAAAATAAAAATTATGACTTTAAAAGAATCCTTGTAATAACTATATCGTTTTAGAATTCTAAATCATAAATTTAACCAAAAAAACAAAAACAAGAAGAAAAATAATTTTTGGTTATATTTTAAATTGATATAATACGAAATCCTTATCAAATAATCTATCTATTAATTTTAAAAATAGAAATCAAAATAGTACAAAATAAAAAAAATTATAAGATACAAATTAAATGTTTTGGTATTAATTATAAATTCATTTTATGTTTCTATTTTTAAATGATTTCTTATTGCATTTTATAAATTTTTATTATTTATATTAATTTTTAAACTTAAAATCTAACTATATATTTTTAATAGCCTAATTCCAAATTTATTTATGTTTATTACTTTAGTCTTTATATTACGTAAAAAATATGTATAAAATTTTAAATATATTTGTTTTTGGTAAATTTAACTTATATATATATATATATATATATATACATGGTAAGAGAGAGGAAAAAAACTTTTTAATAAAATAAAATTTATTTTGGAGCAGTCTAGTTTAAAAATTAAAACTAAATTAAAACTTGTAAATAATAATTATTATCTTAAATCTTTATATTTAATTTTTGAACTAGAAATACAAATTTTATATCAAATATTATTTTTTAATTTTTTTAATAAATATTATACATGCATGCATTATTATTAATCGATTATTTTTTTACATTAAAATTTAGTATTGTTTACAAATACTTACAATTTGCTTTTTTTTCTTTTTAAAATTCTGCTAATTAGTGTATGTATTATGTATCTAAGTAGTATTTTATTCTTCTTACTGTTGTAATTATTAATGATATATATATATATATATATATATATATATATTCGAATAATTATTTGAAATATAAATATATATGTAATATATTTTTTAAATAATAAAAATATATTATTTATTTAATCGAAAAAATATATATATTATTTTATACATTTTGAAGGAGGAAATCTTTAGAGCAGAATAGAGTAATCTCAGGTGTATAAAAAACTATGTTAAATTAAGTTTATACTCATAAAATCAACCAGTTGGTAAAATTGTAAAGTTCAAATTTTTAGAACATATAACCTGATAATTAACTTTTCTACCATTATATTATTTGATGTTGATATTTGAAAAGTTGTATATATATATATATATATATATATATACATATGAGTACACTGGATTTTTGACTTATGTAATTTTGTTTTTAGTTATTCAAATTCTATCAAATTGATTGCACATATATATAAGTATTCTTTTCACTTTAAAATATTTGAAATTTAATAATTTTAATCAATTTTAAGAGCACTAGTTCTAATATGTGAGACAATATTATGGTTTGCAAAGTATTTTGTAATAATTCTTTTTATACTTTTTATATTATGTTTACAAATGTCCTTTACAAATACATTATTTAACATGCTATCATTATAAATTCATATTACAAAAAATGAAATTAAAAAGATATATATATATATATATATATATATATATATATAGTTGAATTACGTTAGTTTGTTTTGTGGGAACTTTGTCTTTGTGATTTCAACTATTCATAAAACTCTTACAATTTTATTCAAAATAAACTTGAGTACTAATAACAACTTGAGCGCATGTTTATTATAATTTCTCATTTAGAGCAGACAGATGAGAGGGTTCCAAACAGAAATCATGATTAGAAACCACAAAGTTGAGAACCAATGCATAGTCTTTCCATAATCTTATAAGCTGGTTTTAATGAGAAGCAGACGAGCAGTCATGACTCTGAGGATATAAAACTTGCTAATCCAAATCAACACACAACAAACACATGGAATTGTATAATCTTATAAGCTTGGTTTGTTTCAATGTTGGTTTGCCTCGTTCAGAAGCCATCTTTCTAAGTAAACATGAAGCTGGCCACAAATGTTGCAGCACTCCACACATCTCACAGAGCGAACTTAACAAACAGACAGACAGACAGACAGACCCAGCTCTCACACACAGCGATCGAGAGCGAGAGCGAGCATGAGAGACGAAGTTTGTAGTTTTGAGTCCAAGACAAGCTGAAGCAGAGCATCACTGCACACATGTAGCAGAAGCAACACTGAGGCTGGCAGCTGAGTCGCAGTATCAGAGCTTCCTCTGCTTGTTTTTTGAGCTCTCAAGTTTGGGGACACTTTGTTGTTGTTGATGTTGTTCCAGCAACCATGGTAAACATTCCATCTCTTCGGTTTGGTTTCTTCTTTGATGATGCGTCCGTGAGTCAATATAGTTTGCTCTGATGTTTGTTGTAGTTGGGATTTTGGGACCGAACCTGGTGCTGATGATGACCTAATGGTGTTTTCTCATGTACGAGCCGGAGTGAGTTTGATTAGCTTCGTCTTTTTGGTTGTTTCTGTGCGTTGAGGCGATCGTCTCTCATTTTTGGGTATCAGGTCGTTTTGTGTGTCGTTTTGGCGAATTGGGTCCATGCTGGTTTCTTGTGGTTAAGCGTCTCTGTTTCTCTTGAGATTGTCAGATGCGATTTCCTGAAGTTTTTGCCGTCTTTGGAGGTTTGAGTAATGAATGGTTGAGCTACGAGGGGTTTGCGTTTCCGGTGTTGGAGCAAGTCTGCAGTAACATATTGCTAATAGGGTTTAGGTGATGTCAGGTCTAGGTCTTTTGGTCGGACATTGTCGGATGAATCTTAGTGGCTTCCGATTCAACCGAAGTCGAACTAGAGCAGCATAGTATCTGATTGCCTCTAACTCGGAAGGCATAACCAACCATTTCATGTGTCAGGGTCATGTCCAGCAGAGCAACCTTCTTGACTCTCAAATTTTAACTCAACTGCCGTGAAATGAGTGCCTTTCTTTGTAAAAGTATATTGGTATGAATAGCCTAGATGTATTCACCCTTAAACTATCATTGAATTCGAGTGTTAGATTTCTTATCTAAAAGTATTGAGTCAGTAGGTGCTAGTTCATGGTTTTAAACTTTTTCATCCTTTAATCTACCGTTGTGGTGTTCGCGTTGTTTTGTAATACACGTCAAGACTTACATTTTGATTATCACTTTCATTTGGAGAGTTAACGAAAAAAATGTACGAAAATGAAAATAGTTGCATTTGCAGTTCTAGATTTGTAGATTTATCGCGGGTTGGATGCCTGTGATGTGCTGATATTGTTCATAACTGTCCCATTATTTATCTTGCTGATTCATTTTGTATCGTACTCAGCTTCCTCTTTCACTTTTCGAAGGCAGCTCAAGGGTATACTATGGTAAAGACTGCTCTTGCCCTGTAGTTCTTGAATATATCTGAGGTCTTCAAATGCTAGATTCAAATCTACATCACGAGGAATCGAAGCTTTATACGTCGAGGATTGCAATTGTATTTGTATTATGTGTCACAGCACCGGATCACCTTATAAAACCATAGGGCTGACATCCTATCGTTGCTCTTCTGCAGCTTGTTGAGCTGAAGAATGGAGAGACTTATAATGGTCATTTAGTGAACTGTGATACATGGATGAATATTCACCTTCGTGAAAAAATTTGCACTTCAGAGGTGGAATTCCTTCTGCTCTCGCTAGGTGCGATTTCCTTTCTACATTTCAGATAGGTGGTATTTTGACGAGTCTAAGGGTTATTCCAACTTGTTTTGATTCTAACATGAGTGTTTGAATATGATAGGATGGCAACTGCTTTTGGAGAATGCCTGAGTGCCATATTCGAGGAAATACCATCAAATATTTGCGGGTTCCTGATGAGGTTAGTCGCCACTAATCGACCCCTGATTTGCAATGTTTTCGTCAAAACTACGAATAAGATAACTGGTCGTCCTATCCTGTAGAAGGCGTGTTTATTTCCTCACATTCCAATGGTTGCTTGAGGTATTGTTTTTTTAAGGTCTTCGAAGATCATATTACTATGGTTGTCATCTTCAGGTCATCGACAAGGTTCAGGAATAGACAGTGAAACGTCCAGGTATGACCTTTTTTTTTAACCAGATTTTTGCGATTCCTGTGTCACTAGTTCATATGAGCTGTTCTCAACGGGCTGGAAAAGGTGCACTGTATAAGATACGCAATATCTCTTTATATCAGATCCACTTGAACACTCAGATTCGACTGATTCTATGGAAGACTTGGTGATCTTTTGGTGTAAAACCAACACAAACTAGATTGCTCGCTACATTCTCAGTGAATGCCAAGACCCTCATGCTCAGGATTATGGTCATCTGTTTGAAATTGTCCTATGATGTTCCTGCCAGACCATAAACCCACCATCGACTTCCAATTCGGGCATTTTTAAAGAGCTCTTTTTTGTCTGTATCCAGTTGGTGCTGCCGGGGGGCGAAGCCAGTGAACACCACATCAGTCCAGTACTTCTCAATGTAAATTTGACATTTTGTGAGATAGAAAGCTTGAAGAAACGGGGTTTCTGTTTCTGATCACGTTTATCCTATTCGTCACAGAAAAGCCTCAGTTGTAAGTTTGGTATTGCACCTTCACGCTTTTACAAGCAGATCCTTCCAGCAGTTTTTCAACAGGAGAGGAGCTGTTGGGTATACATCAAAATGTGAATTTTTTTCTCCAATAGCTGACTTGGGTTCTTTTCACTCCACCAGTGACGAAATGTAGAGCTTGATTTCTTCAAGTGTAGCAAAATGATAATTGCCATTGCAGCAAGATATGGTTATTCACGAGGTTTCAAGTAAATGCATGAATAGGACCCCCGTCAAGCTTTTGTATCTATTGACACCAATGCACATTCCAAATGGCATGAGCTCAATCTTCACTGTCTCACTTTGTCAACCTACGCTTAAAGTTTGTTGCTTTATGTCTTGTTTCTACTACCATTTGCTTGACTTACCCCCTACTCATGCAAATTTAGAGTAGTTTATCCTTGTGTACCTTTCGGAGAAGCTAGTTTAATTCTTCAGATTGGGTGTACTCATCAGTGCCTTAGATTTCTACTGGAGTATGATGTCTGCAGGGCATTGGAGGTTGTAAAATGCACGGGCTCCTACATTCTGGAATGATGGCTCACATCTTCTTCTTCTTCTTTCTTTCTTCCCCCTTTTTTTTTCTTTTTTTTTTTTTTTTTTTTAATATAAACGAAGCGCGGACTAGAAATAAATTTTCAGTATTTATTGGCGCTTCTTGTATTATTTGAAGAGTGATTTTATTTTATTTTATTAAACTGTTGTTTATGAACATAAATATGCACATTAATTACAATTTTGATACTGTATTCAAATTGTATACTTTCAAAGTGAAGTAAATTCATTTGTACAATCAGCAAAAGCTCATTCGATTATCTCTTTTACTCTTTTTTATAGTTCATTGTTTCGTTTTGCTTTGTTTTTGTTTTTTGTTTTTTGAATGTATTATCTGATAAGATATTAAAATGAATCAATATATTAAAAAAAATAACAAATCATTGCTCTGATTTGTAAGATGAAGTTTATTCTTCGATCCCACAGTTGTAAATAATTCTAGGATATACATAATATTTTTAGAATGTGAACGTAAAGCAATCTTTCAAATGAAGATTTATTAAGCAATTGATTGATTAAAAAGATAATGAACCCTGACAAATACACATATTATTAAAATAAGTCATATCCCAATTCAATACCGAAATTTTGATAAAGTAATTAATATACATGTTTTTAAAAAATATTCTATAGACTCACAAAAGTTATTAAAAATAACATGTTATTATTTATTTAAAATAATTTTACCCCATGATAATTTAAATAAATTACTAAATTTTACGAAATTATTTTTAAGAAATTAGTGATAATCAGTCAAACCTCAAAAACTGTCTATTTTGTTTTTAACTTCAATAATTTTAAAACAAAAAAATAAAAGAACTGTCGTCAAAGGTTTCATTTGTTCACTTGTTACTTTACCGTAATCTTCGAGAGTTATGTAGACAAAGGCATTAGGACTTGCACCACTCATTGTCTAAAATTAATTTATATATATATATATATATATATATATATATATATATATAAAATTATGTTTACTATTTACAAATGGAGGTCATCATTTAGGCAGCAGACACCAAAAAAACAGAAATTTCAACGGTTCAAGCCCCGCTGACGTGGAGACCCACTCCGTCGGATGAATGAATTCGGCGAGCGATAAACGGGGAGAAAGGCATTCATCCAAAGTGCCGTTGTGGTGCTGTGTAGCGAGGGGGCGTCGTTCCCGCTGCCCTCAGAGAGCCAAGCCAAGCCCTCATCTGAGTTGCAAACGGTGCAGGGGCTTTACCTGGCATAGCCAGCCAGCGTTAGGGTTTCTATTCTCTCGGCCCTTTCCGGATGTAACCATGGCTAATCGCACGGACCCGACAGCGCGGAGCGTGCATGGCACGAATCCGCAGAACCTCGTGGAAAAAATTCTGCGCTCGAAAATCTATCAGAACACTTACTGGAAGGAGCAATGCTTTGGTCTTACAGGTACCGCCATCTTTCTCTCTTGCTGTTCCCAACTCGTATTTTCATTGGTAAGCACAAGATTGTAGAGAGAGGTGAGGGGCGTTTTTTTCTTTCTGTTTTCTTATTGTGCTAATGGTAATTCGGTTGATTTCGTTTTAGTTCTTTGTTGTTTCGATAGTTGTATTTAAATGTTTAAGAGTCAATGGAGTTTCCTCGACTGTGAGAATGGTTTTACTGCCAATCAGTCGCTGATGTGGTGTGGAATGTAGTTCATAGTATATTTCTTCTTCGTTGCCGTCCAAGTTGCATTGTTGCAGATTGTATGACTTTTTTTTTTTTTTTTCTCTCCGGGTAATGGGTTTGGGGTTAAGGTTTAAATGGTTTTGATTTCGCTGCATACGTTGTACTCCGTGGTGGGATTCCAAGAGCAATTTAAGCAAGTCATCCGAGGCTCGAAATTGTTGCATGTTAAGAAGAGGGCAATGTTATCTACAGTGGTTAGAGTGTCTGTGAGCTGATTCTGGCACTTGAAGATGCTCATGATCGGCAATACGTCATCTCCACCGTCAAATTTTATGCTGCCGAATTATATCCTGCTAGTTTTCCTTCTGAATCTTTTTATCATTTTTTTCAGCTGAGACTTTGGTGGACAAAGCAATGGAATTAGACCATTTTGGAGGGACGTATGGAGGTAATCGTAAAGCGACTCCATTCATGTGCTTAACGCTAAAGATGCTCCAAATTCAACCCGAGAAGGAAATTGTGGTTGAGTTCATCAAGAACGAAGATTACAAGTAAGCTTTTGGAACTTCATTGCCTGCAATTAAATGCAAAATAAACACTTTCAATGTGAATTACTTGGGCAGGTAATTTTCGATGGATTTGGGGTTTTTAAACGTCATAGTTTTTCATGATTTAGAGCTTTTTAATCTCCCACTGGGACATTGGCCCAATCCAGTGGTAGCTGGTGGTACATCACTGGCAGCACTCCCGCTGATGGGTGAGTTGCATTGCGTTTGAATCTAAAGAGGGGTTTCTGCTTGGTTCTCACTTGGAAGCTTACGCATATCTTGTGTTTGTTAAATCTGTCGCAGGTATGTGAGAATACTTGGTGCTTTTTACTTGAGACTGGTTGGAAAGCCGACTGATGTGTATCAGTATCTTGAACCCTTGTACAACGACTATCGGAAATTGAGACGAAGAACTTCGGAGGGTGGTAAGTAGTTTTGATTCATATTTTTGAAATTACCTTTGACTGTCCTTTTTTTTTTTTTTTTTTTTTTTTTTTTTTTTTTTTTTTTTTTTCACTTGCATAATTCCTTGACATTTTGTACGTGTTAGTGACATTTTTATAGTTAGTGTAGTTCGCTTTTTGTTATGCTCACTAGTCATCCATGTACGTGTTAAGGGGAAATATCAATGCAATCTCTCACTTATTTAACTATTATTTATTTAAATTCTTAAGGCTATATTCTCGCGCGTGTGGATGAGTTCATCGACGAGTTGTTGACGACGGAGTATAGCTGTGATATTGCCTTGCCTAGAGTTCCCAAGCGGTATGTATCTAAGGATTCATAGTTTCCTAATCTAAATCATGTAGTTATGGTGTTGGGGTGTTTGATTATAGGATCTTTGTCTTTTCTTGAGAGCATAGGAAGGACTTTCAACCCTATTATCCCGGTCTTCTTTCATTTATTTTGGACTCAATCATCTTATTTTGTGTTTCATGTACTTATTCCACCTACGTTCTATTCTCTAACAGTACTTTATGAATTGCTTTACACACGTTAAACCCCACACTATATTTACAGGAGTATCATTATTAAGGCTGTAAGTCTACTGTGTGCTGAAGGGACGTAACTGATTCGGGAGCCATGTATCAGATGGACACTGGAGACTACTGGATTGCTGGATCAGCGTCGGAGCGCTTTGGAAGATGATTTTGAAGAAGAGGAGGAGAAAGAGGAGGAGGAAGCTGCTGCTAATGGTCTTGAAGCTATGGATGTTGACAAAGTAAGCTAGTAGGGTTTCAGTTGGCTACTCTCTCTTATGTAGTTTACTTGTTACTGCAATGCAAAAAGAAATGTGATCAATAAGTTGCAGTATTGATGCCTTCTATCGCATTCACATTCGGATTGCAGGAACATAGAAGAAGTCGAAGTCCAGTGAAAGAAAGGGAGCGAGACGAAGAACAGGGTAGAGATCGTCACCGAGACTATCGGTATGTGATAAGCCTTGTTCACTTCCCATTGTGCTGGCATCGCATTAATGAGAAGTATGATGGGTCACACAATCTCGACCTTACTGTTGAGACATTTTGTTGTCAATATTATTCATAGCTGTGTATGTTGAGCCCCACATTATGCTCACATGAGTACTATTAGTGTCATTAGTATATGTAGATGTCTATGTAAACGAGGGATGTTTGCAATGTTGGCTTTGGTTTAATTGAGAATTTTAGGTTTTTTCTAGTAGGATGGATCTACCAAACAGTAGAGAAGACATGAAATGAACTTTACCTAGTCATTTGTTTGGAGGGGCATCTGTAGTACTTTTGTGTTTGTGATTTTAGGTGTTGAATCGAGGAAGGATTTCATTTTGTAATCTATGGCTTTTAACTGTGTGCGTATGTCCACAGGGACAGAGATAATCGGGACAGAGGCGACCGGGATAGAGGCGATCGCGACAGAGGCCGAGATCGTGATTATGATCGTGATTATGACCGTGGCAGGGATAGGGATCGAGAGCGAGAGCGAGAGCGAGGCCGAGACAGACACCGAGACCGAGATCCTGACCGTGATTATCGTTATCGTGATCGGGACAGGGAGAAAGATCGTGATGTATATGATAGAGATCGTGATAGAGATAGGGATTATCATCGTCGTGATCGTGATCGTGATCGGGGCCGCGACCGAGACAGAGAACGATACGGTGATCGGGACAGAAGGAGGAGTCGATCTCGAAGCAGAAGTAGAGAGCGGCGTGATCGTGAAAGAGACCGTGATGCCCGCTCGCCATCTCCTGACCGCAAAAGAAGGTATGGCACCATGCGAGTTACCTACCCTTGGAGAGTTTCTATCACCCACTACTCTACGTATCGAGGTTCTACGATCACATTGCTGAGTCTCAAGCTAGAATTGAACTTTACTTGCTGTATGACTACCTACAAATGAATTTTGAATCTTCGACGTAGTGGGACGGTTGGTATTCCTCTTGGTTTGTTTGTAATCAATCGCGATTTCTCAACAAACCCTTTACTTAGTCTTTGATGAATCTGTAGTTAAGAATGCGTATTGTCTGAAATAATTATCGTCTTGGTTGTTCAAGGCTGTGATTTAACAGGTTATTTCTGAATTATACCAGAGTAGGCTACAACTTATTTTTTTCGTTTCATTATTTTCAGGCGAGGGCGAGTTGATGACGATGGACCACTGGAGGATGGTGAGCATCGGGCAAACCCCGACGACAAGAAGGAGAAAAAAGAAAAGAAGAAAGAGGAGAAGAAGCAACCTGTTACTGATGGAACTGACCACCCTGATCCCGAGATTGCCGAAGCTAATAGGATACGTGCTGCACTAGGACTAAAGCCTCTGCGTCCTTGATATTGTCCTGTATTACTTTTTGTATGCTTAGGTGGGTACGGCTTTAACTTGATTGAGGTCCAAGAAAGGCGTTGTCCATACAGATGTCTCTTAGGCATGCTTCCACACCTCCCTGACTGCTAAAACTTTTGTGTGGAACAACCTGTTGATTGTTAGGAGCTACAGCAGTTACTTTGTAGTTATTGGCTCGAGAAAATTGGTGAATTGTGATAATTACGCTGGATGGAGGATTATATTTCTTTTTCCTGAGAATTTCCTACGCGGGGAACAATTTATCGGCTCACAGACATCTACAGAATCGTGTATTGCAAACGTTCAGAGGCATATATAGAGAATTGTAGCGCGTGTTCTGTCGAAGCATTTACTTGAATTTATTTTAGAGTGTTTGTGAGCGTTGGATGCAATTAATTTCAGAGTATGATGCAGTATTCCATAATGTAAACCTTTTGCAATTCCTTAAACCGTACTGTGCATAGTTTGCCGTTCATGTTCACCTTAGGTTAAGGGGTTAGTAAGGGACATCGATCGTTATAGAAGTTTTCTCTTCAGAAGCGAGGTTCCAGGTCAAGAGTGGAATACGTCATGTTGAAACAACTAGCCTGTATGTAAGATGTATGAATAACCTTGACGAGATTACATATTACTCATAAACTTGGAATTCCATATCATAAACGGTCCTGTGTCGCATATCTTAACTCGAAAATAAATGACTTGAGGAGATGGGTACGTTGTGTGTCCCTTTCGCAGGTCCTCTGCATACATAGAACATCTAACTACGAACCTGCTGAGAGAGCCAGCCTTAGCAACACAATGATCAAAGTCCACATGCACAGTATAAAATATGGAATGTTCCAAAATAAGTGAACAACTCACCTTTACAAGCTCCAAGAACTCTTTCAAGTTATTCCAAGAATAATCTTCCAGTCGTCGTGAAAAGTCACTGCGAATAGGCCTCAGCTTCTTGTCATCTCGAGAAGAATGTCATGAAACGTTCATGATATTGCTCGTGCACAATCGCTTCTCAGTGTTCGCTGACACCCACCTTGTTGGCCACAGGGATTCTCAGAAAAATAACTTACTCAGGACATTGACAACTGCAGCGAGAGAAAACTCGGAATTCAGATACACAAGCTTTTGTGTGCTGGGAAGCGGAGCAGAAAACAGGGATCCAGATTAACCAAGGTAGCGTAGCAGGAACCGAAGCGAATAGTGTTTGGGATCAGGGTTTCAAAGGCCGCTTCCTTCCCTACAATAGTAATCCATCATTTCATGAAAGAGCGACAATGCTGCTGCAATCAAGATCCAGCGATTCTTAGTCGCCATCATCCTGTCAGCTGGACGCTAACATTGGTACCACTCACTTGGCGGTTCGAAGGGCTCCTACCGTTGGTTGGCACTTGGTTTCTCATTGACATTCGAAGGAGGCAGAATGGTTTTACGGTCTCTGAAATGGACGGTAACTGCTAAAAAATGAATAACTGTCTGAAGGAGCAACAAGTTGTCTTACTTCCAGGATCAACCAAAGCAGTTCAATGCCTTAAGGAAGTTTCTGTGCACATTGGATAGGTGAAGATGTTGACTTTGCAGGAGGAAGATTTTGAAAGTGAGTTAAGTTTCCCATCTCTGTAGCATGCCCCAAGTACAGACGACTCCTCCGCATGAAGGTAATCAATGCTGGTTGATTGTTGTAAAAGAAGAAGGGCCTCAGTGCTGGTGTCAAAGATTCTTCACCAAGTTATTAGGTGTAAGGGTGTTGCCTGTTGTAATGAAAGCAATATGGAAAATTGCCAAACTGACAGGCGAGACGATTTGTAGTGGAGCTACATCGCCGAAGCAGAGCCTGCAACTATCCTACCGATTCAATTCCATAACGAATTAGTAAAGCTTTTGATGTGGGTGGCAGGTGAGGTGAAGGTGGTTGTAGTTGGCAATGGATGCGTTGGTAAGACAAGCATGATCAAACAATTTTGCAAAGGCCAATACAGCGATGAATATAAGAAAACCATTGGGGTAGACTTCCTGGAGAAGCATCAGTATGTCGTTCTACCTCTTCCAGATGTAGATGTGTGCCAGGGGCAGTTGCAAAGTCAGAGGCATGACTCAGGTGCATAAGAACCTATCAGATTAGCATGAAAACATGGAAATACCTCAGATTTTCCAGAGGTTTAAAATTAAACCCTAATAAGGTCAACTCAATATAATTAGGGACGTCGTAAATTTTGGTTCCATTTAAAACCTCCTTGAGATGGGTTCTCTCAGTACAGAAACCTTTCCACTAACCTTGAAAATTCCATAAACTTCACACTCTAACCTGAACTATCTCGTCTTATACACGGCCCTTACTCTTGAACCCCTTCTGCAGATTTGTACAAGCGTTGGAAGAAGAGGTGAAACTAATGCTCTGGGATACAGCAGGACAAGAGCAGTTCCATTCTATTACACGCTCTTACTACAGAGGTTCGTCTGTCCGAAATAATTTAGACTGCACATTTCTCACGTCTAAATGAGCTGGAGGCATTTTAAATAAGCCCTTGGTCTTGTATAAACCAGCTAATAGATTGGATTCTCATGGTAACGCTCTGCACTCACACATCCGTTCAATATTTGTCTAGGTGCTAAGGCAGCAGTACTTGCATTCTCAACCACGGACAGGGAGTCGTTTAATGCCATCCCTCTTTGGAAGCACAAGGTTTAACTTGTGCCCTGCTCATAACTGGTTCCAGCGGTTCAGACTTTCATGTAGGAAAAGCACGAAAGTTTCACCAGTTTCCAACTCTACTCTACCTCCGACACTGACCGGACTTTATGGGCTGAAATATCAGGTGGAGGAAGAGTGTGGTCCCATACCAATGGTATTAGTGCAGAATAAAGTAGATCTCCTTGAGGAAGCTGTTATTTCCAGGTGAGCTACAAATTTAAATAGATTCACTTGCAGACCTCCGAAGTAGAACAGCGTAATGTGATTCTTGGCTTAGTAACGTACGAAGCATTATGCACATTGATTCTTTAAGCTACTGTAACATTTTCGCTTGCTGCGTGGAAGCAAACCATACATCTCTGCAAGCAAGCATTATGAGAAACACAGAAATCTGGATCAAGCATTGTAGTTTGATTCGACTCTTGACGTTACAGGCAAGAAGCGGAAGAATTGGCGAATGAGTTAGGGCTGAGATTTTACCGCATTTGTGTGAAACAGAACCTTTACGTATCTGATGGTTGAAAACTCTTTCCTTTTAAACCTTACTTGATAACTGTAAGTTCATTGATGTCTAAAATGAGAAATATACTAGCTGCTACTACAGATTAAAATCACTTCTGTGGTTGATGATGCAGTGTTTGAGTATCTAGCCGAGATATACCTACAGAAAGATCCAAGCCAATGCTCGCAAACACCTCGGATCTCCATAATTGGTATGGCATCTCCACAACCTCAGTCCTTGTGCGTGCAATCACCAATTAGACCTCAGCGCCACAAAAGTCCACTTCGAAATATCAGTGAACTCTGGAGCAGTTATTGTGAATTAACGTCAATTAAGCGAGTTTAATAAGGGTTGGAGCGGGATGGTTAACAGGCAAACCGCCATCCGTGCCGACCCTGAACTTCCCACCAAGGATTGGGCCAGAGGTAGTGGATCCTTTGTATGTAACATCGACAAAGGTCACAGACATTCGGAGACACCGTCGTGGCCGCAGCAGAATCCTGTCAGACTGCACAATACTCTAACTTGTTGAATATTTGCTCAACATGAGGTTCCGAACAGATCGACCATTCGGTCGATACGAATTAATTGTCCTCTACAGTGTGCTGAACTATGAGTGTCTTTGTCAACTATCCTCCTGGCCAAGCGAGGTAGAACAACGATTTGCACCTGGAAACCACGGAGAAAACTGCAAATTATTAAGGCTGGCATACTAGGAGAGAAGATACGAGGGACATGTGCAGGAGAGGACAATAAATTGACTTGGTCCTCAATTGAAGACCCAACAAATAAAACGGTCAACAGGCTCAAGTATTCCTCCCCACAGACTAACACAACCCCTAAACTGCAACGTTTTACTGTTTGAAATGCATACTCCCAATCGCAGCAGTAAAATGCAGACGGATTGCAATGAGGGCAGTACTATCAGGAGAACATATTTTGAACGCCTCGAATTGCAGTATGAAAATGAATTGCATCCTTCGAAATTTATGAGATGGTCGTGATGTAAACAATAGAATCATTAGCATATATATATATATATATATATATATATATATATGCTTCTTCAGCCAAGGATGAAATTCTGGAGAAGCTCTACCTCTTCATCAGACTACACGATCGAAGAAATTCCCGTATTCCTTTGAGTTCTGTACTCTCTGCAGACTCGGGTCAAAATTGCACAAATCGAGCATCACAAAGCTAGGCTAAAGAAACCTGTCGAGCTTGCCAAATCCATGGCTTCCAGGACTTTGTGTGTGTAAGCAGTAATGTTTGCCTCCAATTTCCAGACCGTCAGCAGCCCTGAAATTTACACTAATAAAAATGATGGAGCTGCCGCATCTTGCACGAAGTCGGACCATATATCATTCCCCCATGTGCGCATGTACATCTACCAGAAAATTTCCGTAACCTATATTACGATGACAAATCCCGCAACCCAAATTCCGCGAGAGTTTCTTTGGTTTTCTGGAACACGCTGCCAGGCCGAATGACCTTGAATACTCCTTCCTGCGTAAGATCAACAATGGTCGACCCAGCCCGTCCCCCAGGGAGTGTTCCCGCATCGAATATGAACGCACAATGGGGCCACAGATGCTCAAACTCCTCAATCCTAACAGTACTGGCGTGGCTGCTTGTATTCGCACTCGTCAGCGCCACCGCTCCACCAAATGACCTCGCCACACCTCTGATAAAATCACTATCCGGAATACGAATTCCAATACTACCAATCCCCGGATTAAGAGAAGCTGATAAGAAACCAGGCTCTCGCCTAGGGAGCAGTAATGTAACAGCACCAGGCAGCAGCGCGTTGAGCAACCCGGCCGGCAATTGCGCCGTCTCGCCGTACGCAGCCACCACATCCACATCCGACACACACACCGCCAGAGGACTACTCAGCTTCCGCTCCTTAATTTCATACACTCGCCGAATGGCCTCGGCCGAGCTTGCATCGCACGCCAAGCCATACAGCGTATCGGTCGGCACCGCAATAACCTGCTCGTTTCCAAGAGCCCTCACGGCCTCCTTGTAATGTTCCTCCCTGGCCATCAGCACAATCCCCTTCAACGCAACTTCTTGTTGCTCCACTCCTCCATCTGATGTGGAATAATCCACTCGTCCTCCCAAGCACGCGCTCGCGAACCCTCTCCTCGCATCCCTCACCTGTTCTCTCTCAGCAACCCCACGAAAAGCTTCGCAGCTAACACACGTATCGTTTCCGAAGCTGGGAGGTCTGAACCTACAAGCGAGCTTCACCGTTTCCAAGCTCACACACCGCGATGACGAAGACAATGTGGAGAAGGCCGCGGTGGAGGGATGCAGCCGCTGCAGCGCGGCGGATGAGAAGCTATGGAGCACCATGATCGATCGCAGAATACAAGGATACAACAAGATGAACCTACAACACTCTATAGGCGACAGTCTTGGCAAAACACTCCCTGATTCGATTCTTGTTGCGTGAGAGACAAGCCCTGCGGGATTCCAACTTCCTGCCAAAGTGCCGACAACCTGGCGGCATCTGCCGATACCGCGGCTGTGGAGAAGGTTCTTCGACTGAAGCAAACAAGTTGTTAAGGGCGAATCTGCCTCCGACGCCTACTCCTCCTTTTGTTTTCACGCAGAGTAACTTTTTCTCCGGAATAAAATATCTCCTGAACGATATTTTACACGTACAGCAAGCATATCTAAGTTTCTTTGCCTCTTTACCAATTGGTTATAACTGTACCGTGAGAAAATAGCAATAAACGAACTTTCGGCGGTTGGAAATAGTGAACTGCGCACAAAGATAACTCTAACTCAATATCCTGTCACAACTTTGGCATGCGAACTGAGTAGTTTGAAGAGAAGTGCAATGTATAATTGGCAATCCAAAATTTTCAAGAGATTCAAATGAAAATTAATCCATTATAAGATTACATTCAACCTGAGGGTTTCTGTACACTGCCTCGATAAAACACTGGGAACTTCTATTTGTTTTTGTAGTATCTTCATCAGTAATTCACTTTCGTTGAGCTAGTATTTTGCCCACATCTTTAAACATATTAATTGACCGCGTTAGGTTAGGTATGAACAGAGAACTGATAACAGAAATTACGATTCATTTCAACTCGTGAAAGAAGCAAAAACCATGAGTGATTGAAATATTTTTGAGGTCATCATCTGGCACAGATGAATATCTGCTGGACAATAATTAGATACAATGCATAACTGCACTTCAAGAGTAAATGCCGTTCATAAACAACCATGCACTACAGCCGAAACTCGATGAACTCCACTAGCGCTTCCTCCGCTGGCTTGTTCTCCTTGGAAGACTTCTAAAATTTCACTTCTAGAGCTTCGGCATCACTGATGCTCACCTTCTCGGCGGTATTGAGATCATTAGTACTAACCCGCAACTCGGGTGCTAGATCTAACATTTTCAAATCATCTACCACCACGCTAACTGAAAACCCCCAACCACTGTCGCGTTACAAAATGCCAACCTAGTGTGAGATGCAGCAATTGATTTCGGTTGACTGAATATACTCTTCAGGGGTTTTAGTTCTGGCTCACCTATTGTCTTGCCCTGAAATTAGGGTTAGGGTTTGTCTCTTTTTCGTCTCCCCTGTTTCAGTCTGACTTGAACTGTCAGGGGTTTAGCAGGGTCTTAGTGAATTGCTATCATTTCCGGCATCAACAATTGTTGCACTACTACAGTGTCGAAGGGTAGTGATCAAGTAGGAACAATGGAGACTAATCCGCTTGCAGTCCCTGCGAACAATATCATCTGTTCTCTCACGGACCCGGAGAATCGTAGTTTAGGTCCCCCGCTTGATCTTCCTCAGGATGCAGGTCCTAAAGAGCTCCATCTCCTCATTAACACGCTTCTTCAAAATGTAAGCAAACGTTTTGAATCTTCTTATTTGGAATGGGAGCCGTATGGTTTGCTCTGGATTGAGTTAGGTAATCTTGGTTCTCAACTCTTATGAGGTGAGGTCGAAGATTAAAATCCCCCAAAGTCAGGCACAAGTTTTTACTTGCTTTGTTGTTGGCAGGAAGAGAAGCTGCCTTACGCGTTCTACATCAACGACAAAGAACTCGTTGGAAGCTTGGGAGCCCACCTGAAACAGAACAGAGGTATAAGCACCTTTTTTGGTTGTTTGCTTGCCGCTGTCAATGTGGAATTGCTAATCTTTATCGGTTTAATGAGAATTCAGTACATGTTGAGACAATCTGCAGTCCTCTGCATCAATGATCTCAGAGGTTGAGAATTCATGCACAGGGTTATTTTGAGAAGTGTATGGTCCGAGTTAGGAATCATTCCAGTGTATTTGAAATATCATGAGAAGCGCAAATAAAGTCTCCTTTTCAGCGTCCTTGAATGGATCCGCATGCGCAGCCCTATGTGCCTCCAGCATCGCTGTCTCTATCATCTCTTGATGAGGGTGCAAATCTCTTACAGCATGGAGGCTCTGACATTTCACGGTTTCGTTGCTCTTGCAGTGTCTGTTGAGCAGGTACTACATATAGTGTATCAACCACAGGCTATATTTCGAATCAAGCCTGTCACCCGTTGTTCTGCTAGCATACCTGGTGAGAATCTGGCTCGAAAATAGTTCATTCTGCTCTTCAGACGACGTGGCCTGAAGAATGCAATAAGAATTTTACATATAGTTCTCCTAACACCTGCTCGTATTCTTGTGTGGCAGGACACTCGGAAGCAGTGTTATCAGTGCAATTTAGTCCAGATAGTACTAAGCTTGCTAGTGGGTCAGGTGATACTACTGTCCGATTCTGGGACATTTACACACAAACGCCTCTATTCACTTGTACGGGTAAGATTTAAACATCGGTTTCAAATTGGATCCCGACATGCTGAGAACAATGTTATTGGTCTTTTTACTGCGAAATCCGTCTAGTGCATGCATCACTAAGATTGGTTTGGAATTCAGTCCATCTTGAGTTTTTCAAGAAGCAATTTGGGATTTTATGAGGAACTGTGTTGTTTCAATTAGACATTGAAACGCTGTCTGAGATTTTGTTATGAAACAGGACATAAGAACTGGGTGCTATGCATTGCATGGTCGCCGGATGGCAAAATGCTTTTGAGTGGAAGTAAAGACGGGGAGCTGAGGCTGTGGGAACCTACAACAGGCAAGGCCATAGGCAATCCCTTTACAGTATGTTTTTCTCCCTCTTCATCTACCTATACTGAAGAGTTGTGCAAGGTTCACATGGTGGAGATGTACGTAGGTAGGGGTAAAGATATTATTTACGTAACTTGCAGGTAGAAATCGTGCCTGCTTTGCCGTTTAGTGACCACTTTGCACATTTTCTATAATATCGTTGATAGCGCAATCTGGAAAAAGGTGGATATATGAAATTTTGTCCTGATGTAAGAACGAGTTTGCCATTTCAGGGACATAAAAAATGGATAACAGCTGTTGCATGGGAACCAGCCCATCTTCAGTCTCCGAGCCGGCGATTTGCTAGTGCTAGTAAAGATGGCGATATTCGTATATGGGACACCACTCTGCACAAGACAGTTATGTGTCTTAGTGGCCACACACTTGCAGTAACCTGTGTAAAATGGAGTGGCGAGGGCTTTATTTATTCTAGGTGCGCCTTTGAACCGCTTAGCGTGTATTTTTTTTTATGAATAATTAGATTATTACTTCAAGCTGCGGCCACGGTGAAAAAATAACGGTATGTTTGTGGCTTTCATACAGTTCTCAAGATTGTACAATAAAGGTTTGGGAGACTACTCAAGGGAAACTTATCCGGGAGCTTAAGGTACGTTGCCTTGGAATGTGATGGTTGAGTACAATGAGAATGTGTGGTGGTCCAGGCAATAAAAAACTAGTTTCAGACGTAGTATCTTACCTCGTAGGAGCTGATGCTTTTGTAGAAATATCATGTTGTTGGGTAAAAACTCTCGTGTAATGTTTTATTTTATCAAAAACGTTCTGATTCAGGGACATGGACATTGGGTGAACACACTGGCGTTGAGCACAGAGTACGTACTGCGAACCGGTGCTTTTGATCACACTGGTAAACAATATAATTCGGCTGAACAGATGAAGGAGGTAATCATCTAACTTCTCATCAAGGAACTTTCTTGTTTTTCAAGTGCCTGACTGTCAGCGTGTTGGTTAAGGTTCTGTTTGACAACTTGTGGTGATTTGAAAGTTTTGGAGGATTTGATTTGAAACTTGTTATCAATGTCTGAGTTAAATGTTTCTAAAGCAGTTCAGGTTTCAGATTTGTAAGGTTTTTCTTTCATTGGTTTTCTAGAAACTTAGACGATCCTAGTGTCACTAGCTTACCATATACTCTCTGGCTATAAACGTATTGTCATAAGGTGGTGATCTCCAGCTTTTACATAACCAGCAGATCTGTAACCCTGTATCAATTGTAGGCAGCGTTGGTCAGATACAAGGCAGCGAAAGGTGAATCACAAGAGCGGCTAGTGTCAGGGTCAGACGATTTCACTATGTTTTTATGGGAGCCAGGGACTAGCAAACAGCCAAAAGCTAGAATGACAGGCCACCAACAGGTAATGATGTTTTTTATAATGCTTCTGAAAATGGCGAGAAGTCACTCGAGGTGGAATTATTAAGATAAATTACTCTGATTCCAATGCTCATGTCGATGAAAGAACGTTGGTGTCATATACGGGTGTGTAACGTCGTGGGTGAATTTCCTCGTGAATCTCAGTGTAGGTCAAAATATATGTGCATATGGTGCAAGACTCAGACTCTTCTTGTTGTGACTGTAATAATAATCCCTCAGATGAACCAATTAAATCTTTCGAATGGAGTGTAAAATGAGAAATATGTGTCTTAAGTATGATACGATTTTTATTGGACCTTATACGAAGTACATCCTTGGTTATCATGCTTGACATTCTAGGCTTCTATATTCCACTCTGAATTGATGCTTTCGCTTTTGCAGTTGGTCAACCACGTGTATTTCTCTCCTGATGGACGCTGGATTGCTAGTGCTTCATTTGACAAGTCTGTCAAGCTTTGGGATGGATATACGGGAAAATTTCTTGCCACGTTCCGTGGCCATGTGGGCCCTGTCTATCAAATCAGGTGAGCTAGTCCTTCAGCTTCCTATTTTCATTACGTTTCAAACGCACTGATATTGATTTACAACGTTCCTGGACTCATTTGGTCGTGGTCTTTGAAAGATCTATCACTCTTTCTTGGTACCATAATTTGTCACTATTCGATGTTGCTAGTCAAGTTTAATCTGAAGTAATTGTAAGTTTAAGTTACCTTTGGGCTCTGAACTGTGTAATGTTGTGGGACAGTTGGTCTGCAGACAGCAGGCTATTAGTCAGTGGAAGCAAAGATTCCACAATGAAGGTGCACCTCTACCTCCTACTAATCAGTATCGGCATTTTTGTGTTTTGTTTCAAGCATGTGTTCTTGTTATCAGATCCACTTTTGGGTGATTTTGCCTTATTTTTATTTTTATTTTAGGTTAGAATCTTATTAATACCAGTATAGTACAACTTGAAGAGTGCCGTTTGTCAACGTTGCAGATGTGGGACATGAGGACACAAAAGCTGCGAGAAGATCTTCCAGGTCACGCTGATGAGGTATTGTCTCTCAACTGTTTGAGCTCTGAAACCATTGAAATGAGTATTAGACTTGTTGCATTTTTATGATCTCTTAGTCTTCAATGTGGATTCAAGCTGATGAACACGAACCGGACTTTCAGGTTTTTGCCGTGGACTGGAGTGCTGATGGTGAAAAAGTTGCCTCTGGAGGCAGGGACCGAGTTCTCAAGCTGTGGATGAGCTGACTTATAGATCTTATTGTCTTCAAACTAATTCGATAACATAGCATTACTTATACACCAGAGCATCCTTGCATTTGCGCGTTGAAAAGATTTATGTCTAATATTGATACAATCCTAAGTAGGTAAATTGCGTACACGTGAACTTGAAAATCAATTTTATGAGAGATCAATCCATCTTATGTTGTGGTTAAGTACCATCTCTTTTGGCGTTTTTTCTTCAAATTCTTTCTTGTATGGTACAATGTTAAATGGCACTACTGGTGCTTTTGCAGCTATGTCATTCAACATTGTTGCGAGTTGAAAATAGTAACATGTTTATGTAGGCCTAGTAAACATGCTGACTTATACTTGCACATATGGCACAATAATTCACTTTCAATTTACACATAAACTGGACGCCCTGCATGTCAAGCCATTTGAGAAAAGGAAAGCTTAACATAATCCTGGGTCCTTATTTACGTTAGTCTACCAAAGAGCTCGTGAATACAAGTGTTTCCCAACAAGCTTTTTGATCTGGACAGTAATGCATATCCCTTGAAACATAAAAATGTGTAATAAAGGATCTTGGGATCTGTTTGTACTTCAGCATTTGCCTTTATACTATATTACATGCATTTTAAAAGCAATCACACTAGTTGGATCATAAATCTTAACTTTTTCTTTTTTTCTTTTTTTTTTCTTTTTTTGCAATTTACTAAAAATAGTTGGTCAAAATAATTTGATGTTACCCTGTCTTCTTAAGGTGGGCTGAACTTGCTCATTCCTGTCAAAACATTATAACTATTAAAATTTATTTATTTTTACTATTATTTATTAGTTTTAATATAACATAAAGAATATTAAAAACTATGAATTCATATATATATATATATATATATATATATATACATATATGAATAAAATGATATGTTCTTCGATAATTAGTTTATAAAATTACTCCTCAAAATTGAACATATTGAAATAAAGGCAGTCTTTTTAACTTGAAAAAATCCAATATTTTAAAAAGTATATGCGAAATTCAAATTACATTAACAATTTATTTCAAAACAAATATTTTACTTTATATTGGATTATTATAATTTTTCTATTATTGAAAAGCTCTAAGTGATCAAAGAAGGTGTTAAAACATATGTTAAAGGTGTATTTTAACATTTTTTCTATTAATAATCATCTTCAATCTTATAATTTTTTTTTTTGGGAATAATTATTCTTTGCAAAAAATATTTAAAATCTAATTGATATAATTGAATTCATTAAATAAATATATCCGCATCTATATACATATATATACATATATATATTATTTATTTTTTCCTTTTTCTTTTTAAAGATAAATAAATTTTTTATAGTGTTTATTTTAAATATTATATTGAAGAAAAATACATATGATTCAAAGAGTAATTGGTTGTATGCCTTTGAAAAACAAATTTTGATATATATATATATATATATATATACATGTGCATGGATCTACATAATGTGTATTTGTAAGTACAATAGTATTGCATTGGTAAGATGTCTTTTATAATTGTTTGAGTATACACAAAAAATTTATCAATATACAAAAAAATAATTGCAGTTGACAGATAAATAAAACCTTGGATTAGTTTATTTAAATTAATTTAATATTTTTAGAATAATTAGATAGTATAATAATGACTCTTTTGATTGTTTTTTTTAATAATTGAATATAAGAAAAAAATATAAAAATATTGTTAATATCTATAAATATTCATATCATTATTAAACTTACCATAAATTTTAAAACATTATCCTATTTACTTGTCTTAGGTGCAACACATCTAATTATAATCTACAGTACTGTAATGTTTTATATAATATATCAATTATTATACTTCATATACTACATTATTTTTTTAAGATTATTCAAATTTTATAAAAAAAAAATATTGTACTTTTTTACTTTCATATTGATGCAATAATAAGTAATCAACAATCCTTGTTTTTAATTGGCTTTAATGACATATTTAAAAAGGCTACTACAAATTTTTAATAGATTGGTTTTTCTAATAGAGTAATAAAGATTGTCACTAAAGTATTATTTTATCTATACCAATTAAAATTATCCTTGCTGTTCTAATATTTTTCCATTGTGTTTTAACATGATTAGAACATATTCCTATATGATTTTGTATTTCTTGTTATTTATTTTATCAATATTAAACAATAAAACATCAAAATAGTTTTTATAACAACTACCTCACTCAATAAAATAAAATAAAATAAAACATTATTGAAAATCTAAATGATCTTCTTGTTATACATATATATCTTAATTTTTTATAATATTATACAATTAAAATTTATATTTATTAATCATGATTGAAATTTTAATTTTTTATATATATATATTAACATATATATATTTAAATTTATATTTAGGGAAATGTTAAAATGACCCAGAGTTTTGTCTAAATTGACCTATTTGTCTAAATCATGATCTGTCCCCATCTCTGTTCCCATGTTCCCAACCCTCATCTCCATTTCCATGTTCCCAATTCTCATCTCTGTTCCCAAGTTCGCAACCCGTTCTCAAGTTCCCAACTCAACCGGCACTTGTGCATCCTGCTCGTGCTTCAGTGTCGGGTGGTCTTCGTCCGAGTTCAGTTTCTTTCAACAGTGTCGATTGTGACAAGCACTCAAAGTTTTGCGGGAGCTACCGCTACTCCCTGGACAGTCTGTTCAAAGTGGTCGATCTGCATGATGGGGGCTACACTGTTACTTGGTCCGTTTTTCTTTCGCTCTCCATTACACTTCAACTTTGGTCTATGCAGGATTGCAGGAGATCCGAGAGAAGATGTTTTTGGGGACTCTGTAGTATTCACCAAGCTGGACCGTTACTTTGCATGGTCAGTTGCATCTACGCCACAGCGAATGTGAGAGTTTGGAGCTTCCTGAGGAAATTAGAGCAAGAGGATGCTTGGAGTCAAAAAATCAAATGGGATTGAGTATGTGGCAGTTTGTACAGACGAGAAGGAGATCAAGAGACTAGGAAGACGAGATATTCTGGTAGTTTAAAGAGGCACCGTCACGGAATTAGAATGGGCCGCGCATGCACAGGATGTCCTCGTTTCGTGTGCCTTCATAGACGGAAGCAATGATGACAAGTCGACGCCTAAAGTTGAAGTCAGATTTTTAAGCCTGTATACTTTGGCCGACGATTCATCAAAATTTAATAAGATCAATGCTCGACAGTATGCGGTGAAAGAAATCGGAAGGTTGATTGAGGAATACAAAGACGACGGCCATGAGCTGAGCATTACGATTTGCGAACACAGACTTGGTTCAGGACTGAGACTTCTTTTCGCATACGATGTAGCAAACTCAAACCTGAACCAAATCAATCAGGAGAGAACTATTCCAATAACGGAGTTTTCCTGTGGAGGTCCTCGCGTTGGTGACGGTGTGGTTAAGCAACGAGTCGAGGACCTTGGAATCGAGGTTCTTTGCATTGTGAACAAAGGCGACGTACTACCTCACGTGCCTAAGACACACCTTCTTGAGTGCTTCAAAAGAATGTACCGCCAATTAGAAGTTGAATTCCTACTTGACGATCAGCAATAGTTGCACTTAAACCAATCCGAAGGGCATCATTTCTCAGTGGAAAATTTGACCAAATTGCCGCTAAAGAAGCAGCTTTCTTCTTTTGTTATGCATCACAACCTAGAGGTGTATCTGCACTTGATTGATGGGTATAGTAGGTATATCAAGCCACCGACCCGAGACCCTATGCTCGTCAACAAGCACTGTGGATTCCTCAAAGAAAACAAGTACGTACCAGAATGTTGGTGGCAGGTCGAGAACAAAGGCTTGAAATGCTGCGAATATCAAAACAGGTACTTCCAACCAGAAAGAGCTGTTAAAGACCGCCCTGTCCCTCCCGAGCAGGAGGTGGTCGATGCATCAAAGGCTCTTTCAAAATCCCTCTCCCTTCACAACAGCAAGTCGTAGTACTTCATGGGGCAGGCAAGCAGGTGTAGCGCTTTCTTCAGCCTACAAGGGCGTTGTAGAAGCTTTGTGGAGGATGGCATGTAGGGGAGGCCTTATATGGGTGTGAAGCTTGCCAGCACAAGCTTGCTTCCATCTTCCATGAAGCGGACGATACAAGTACACATGGGTTGGCAGTGGAAGGAATCGACACAAAGCGGCACAAGCATCGCCGGTTCACTATAGTATTGGATCACAAGTTGATGCTACATCACCACACCAGTGGCGCCCCACGTCCCTGGCAAGCTGCAGCTGCGAGAAGGACATGGTGGCATTGAAGTGGGAGGTGAGCAGTGCGTTGGGGGTGGGAAGCTTTTGCAAAGTGAGAGAGTGCTGGAGAAAAAGACAGACATGAGCAGGTTGTGAGAGGGTCTGGATCACAACCAAACGGCAGTGCGTTCGTTTTCATGGTGCTGCCTTTCTGTGTCAAAAATTCCATGCCACAATGATGGATAGTCGCTGCACAGAGTTAGTTAGTAAGTAGGTCATGTGTAGGACATCTTTGGTTACAACACATTGTGAGACGGAGTGAGAGGGGTGTGGGATTGGAAGGAGTGGCATGTGTTGAGAGGAGAGGCCCTCTCAATGCGAAGTAACAATCAAAAAGGGGAACGGGGGAATGGGTTGGGAACGGGGATGAGGGTTGGCAACATGGAAATAGAGATGGAGGATGGGGTGTAAATGTGTTTGTTTTGATTTTTTTTGCAAATTTAAAGTCAATCAAATGGTTAGATTGTAGAATATAGAAACCTAATTGGATTAGATTCTCAAATATTTGATTTTTAGGATTTTAATTTTTTTTTAGAGTTTTTAATTATTTCTTTATGATTTTTTTAAAAAAAACTTAATGATTTTTTAAGAATTGATTAAGATATGAATATGATTGCTAAGGTATAATTGGAGTTTATTTAGGATTCTATTAGAATTGTTAAGATCGTTATTGTTGCAATTTCTAATTTACCTTCCACAACCAAGTCCTCAATGCATTCTCAAGCAAGACAAATGACACTGCCAGCTTCATCCAACTTCTATATATATATATATATATATATTTATATTTGTTTATATATATATATATATATTTGTTGTGCTTATTAATTGATAGCATTTGTTGCAAGAAAAATTATGAATTATGAAAAATTAATATTGATAAAAACAACCAATAACACTAGATATGTAGTTGAAGTTGATTCTCAAAATTTTGATCAATTACATGAAGTAATTAGTTTTTGAGGGATTGATGATGTGAAAGGCAGCTGTACATATGGATTGGAAGTTTGAGTGAAGTCATTAGAATTGCAACAGCTGCAATCTTGTGTAGGATGAAATGTTTGATTGAATCAATTATTTTGTTGTGATTAAAGAAAAGTGTAGAAGACTCTTTCTTACACACGTCTATCTGTACATGCGTGAGATATTTATGGATAGTTAAAAGAAGCGCACACACACGCAGAAAACTTAGAAGTGGGTCACAAGCCCGAAAAGAGCAAACAGATTGTGCTTCCCTCCTCAAATGCCAACACCATGAATATTCTATGGCAGCATTTCTGAAAGCACAGCAAAGCATAATCCGGCGTCAGGAGCCCACACTCCTGCATGCATGGAAGCCACAATCACCACTTGTTCCACCTCAGACTCATAAAGTAGCATATGGCCCACAATAAAGTTTCCTTGATTTACTCTCCACACTGCAGGCCTCATCGCAGGGCCATATGCTATTTTATGAGTTTCCTTGATTTACTCTCCACACTGCGAGCCCTGATTTACGCGATGAGGCCTGGCTTGTACCCCTGCGATCTTCCTCTCATGCCTCACCCCCTGTCACTTTGTGGGTAGTCTTCATGCTTTGATCTTCCCCTTCAGATAAACAAAGACTACTTTCTGGGTACAGTAGTTCAGTGATCACCATGACGGTGACGGAGAAGAGAGTTGGTGTTGCGGCTCGAGGATCGTATGGTGAATTTGACATTGATGGGGGCTTGTCAGCTCCTATCACTATCAGCTAGCCCATCGATATTCCTCCTGTCTCAGACTCTCCAGGTGAGAGCGGTTGCCATGTTTGACACTTCGTTTCTGTTAGGGTTCGTTATCAATTTTGGGGTTTTATTGTCGAATTTTTGGGTTTCATTGTGGCTGGTTGGATTTGTACAGATGGGGGGGCTTTGGAATGGAAGCAACCTCACTGCGCTGCATAGTTTGCTAATGTAAACACGGTTGACCTGATCTCAAATCGTCGCAACCTCCAGATCTGTGCCTTCGGTTGTTGATGCGGGATACTAAGCCACTTATCGACTAAACTTTCTTTTGTTGCAAGCGCCTCTTTAACGTGTGCCCCATTTGTGTGTGGCTTCTGATAATGTCATGTGTGTCAGTGTTAATCTTTTTCGGGTTTTGGTGTTGCAGGCACTTTCATTGTGTGTAACTCGCCAGACCTGACAAGAGGCGTCAAAAAGTATTTTTCAGACATTTTTTCAATAAATAGCAACAATTCATGTGACAGAATGAAGTTGGTTAATCGCTTGAACTCAAGCAAGGACATGGAAATTGGACTCTTGTATGCCGTTTGCCTGTTTTGAGGTGTGAACTGGGAATCAGAACTGTCTTGAAAGTGTTCATATTGGCAGATAATATTTGCAACTTCTTATGTCTGAAAAGCAACGTAGTCGTTCAAAGGAACTGTTAATCTATGAGTCTCTTGAAGCGTCATTCCTCTCTCGCGTGTATTCTTTGTGCAGTCTCACAAAACTGTCCATATGGTGTCTTGGTGTCTGTACTTTGTGTAATTCGAGAAGCAATATGAAACCCTAAAGGAGTAGAGGAGTATGTCTCATGTTTGCTCTCTTGGGGCTTGTTTGTGACATTTATAGAAGATTATAGAAGTAAAAATCTAACCCCGTTGTAATCCTCAACCACCACCATTCTTGACAGTTTCGGATTTCTTGCTTTGGTTGTTTGGTGAATTAGGCAGATGAGGCAGGCCTATTCATTGTCACCTGTTTCCTTTGGATGTGTTTTTCCCTTGGAATTGTGGGTAGCTGAGGCGGGTGATAGTTTAAGGTATTGCTTGCAAATGGTGTACTGTGTCCTGTTAAGTTTCAAAGAGCTTCAGCACTCACAAAACTTAGGTTGCTTTTTCTCCTTCCATAGTAAAGTGCAGACATCATCGTTGGAAACAACACTACCTGTGTTTGTGCATCGGAGATCTTATTTGTTGATGGAGGACAAGCAAGTTGGCTGCAAGTGCTCGTGCAAATTTTGATATGTGTAATTCGTGAATTTATCATATTTTTTCCCTGTATCAAGGCACGTGTTTTTAGATAAAACTTCCTCTTTGCACGAGTAGTGACTGCATTGTATCTGTCTGTGTAAGCGCTCATATACCATAGTTGACAGTTGTAAGAATGTTTTGGAATAGAGCCATTAAAGTCACGAGTCATTTTTCAACCTTTGGCAGGAAATGGTCAACATGAAATTTGAGTGTAGTATTAATGAGACAAACTTGTTCATTGCTGTAAAACTAGGGGGCCGATATGTGAAACAATTGATAGAAATATTGAGAACAATTTCCTTGTTCAGGTGATGTGTGTGTGCTTGGTCTATTTTGTAAGTTTTGTATCCACTAAATTAAATATATTTCGGCATAGATTCGGTGTCGAGACAGGGCTTTCTGACCCCTTTTTTACTTTGAAAAATTCTGTTGTTCTGAGTGGATGATTTTATTTTATTTTATTGTAATTGTGTTAGTTTTCACATTGGTGCTTTAATATGAATAGAACGCTTTTTGAAACCACATGGGAAACTTGGGAAAGGACAATTTTAAAGCTTCTTCAAACTCTTTAGAACCAAAAATTCCTGAAAATGATTTAATATTATTTACACAATGTATTTTCAAGGTTCCTTTTCAATTTGTTACTCTCAGGATTCAGAATCTCCTTATAATCCAATCATATTTTTCTAATTCAGCCAGGTCTGTATTTTGCTTTTATCCAAAAAAAATCCACATACCAAAAAAGATGTATATCCAAATTATTTTTGATGGTCGGTGGGATATACATTCCTAGATCCAACCAACAAATACGTGAATCTCCACGTCAATGATACTAAAAACAAGGTACATAGATCCTCAAATTCCTGCACATACCTTTACGAAACACCTAACAATGTCACTCCAAGATTAACCTCAAAACCATCTGAACACTTAAAATATCATCATCTATTAAGTTATGGAAAACACTGAAAGAATGATTTATCCACTACATAGGCATCACGTTGTATATAACACACATCCACAGACTATGCCCAACAATACATGTGTGTATAGTTATATATATATATATATATATATATATATTTCCTTTATTTTCTCTATTTTTCTTTCAATTACTCAATTTCCATTGTAACGTTTTCAGCCGGTGATAGTTCATCCTTGTACAAAACACCGCACAAACTAGCCACACAGACCAGTTCAAATTTTTGTATTCGTAACGTTGAAAGGGGGTTTCTGCCACGAGACACCGCCCCGGGTTTTGAATGGTCGGTAAGCGCAGGCCTTGGAAGGGACGGCAAGGGGAAAGTTTCGGTGCTGGCTGGCTGGACATGCACTGATCGCCCGTTGGGATTCTCGCGCAGCCCTACGCGCGGGGAATGGGTTTTTGGGTTCTTCATCAGTTTTGGCTTCTTCCCCGTCTTGTTGCACTCACAATGGTAGATTTTGAAGTAGCCGTGTGGTGTCCAGGGCAAGTATCCTTCCCTAGATCGTTTGCGAAAGCAATGTGCTTTGTCGATGAAGAAGCTTGCAATGCAGGAGCTGGGTGTTCGACCAAGCTCAGGAGCTGATTCTCTTACCTGGTGGCTTGAGCGAGGGGAAATGGTCGCCGGAAGTTATGACTCGGGGCGGGGATCCCTTTCTCAACCGCGCATTGCTCAGGTTCTCTCTCCAGGGCATCCATTGTTCTTCCTTTTGTGTCCTTTCATTGCGCCTTACACGCCGCACATACACTTCCCCACATTACTGAATGAGTTGCTGTCGAGATTTCTAGGTTTGAAACCCTTGTCTTTGGTTGTTAGAACCGTGTTTTCTTGCTAATTATTGTTTTGCATGTCTGCAAGATAATTCTCGAGGTCAGAGATTCTGGGTAGATCCCACATACTTTGTAGATTCTGACTCTCTCGAGTTGAAATTACCAGCCTCAGAGATAGAGCATTGTCCGCAGCTGACACAATTGCTGAGGCATCCTTGTGCTTGATTCCATTAAACGTTTGTATTCAACCTTGTTAGTGGTTGAAAATTATTCACTGCACAGATTAACGAGCAAGAACTGAAGCTTGCGGAGCTGCGGCGTAGCAAAGGCCCATTCGATCGAGCTGTAAGAGCATTGACCACGAACATTCGCGAAGCTTATGAGAATATCATTCTCGAGAATCTGCCAAGATCAGAGTCGATAGAGCAGCAGCTGTGGCGACTTCACTACAGTTTCATAGAGGAATTCCGAGCCCGTCTAGGGAAGCTCAAAGCGGCTGCTCTTGCTGCTGCAAACGTTCCTAACAAGAAGAAAGCTGTAGAGCAGCAGAAATTTGAAAGAGTAGGGGGTCAGTACAAGTGCTTTCTCGATGAAGCAACCGGGTTCTACCATGGACTGATTGCAAAGCTAGGGGCCAAGCATGGGCTCTCAGGGAAATTGTCTTCTTCCAGCAATATAACTGGTACGTGCAACTTCACTATTCTGGATATACTTCGGGAAGTATTCACCATTATCCTTCTGCTGGACGCCTTTCTTCTCGAGAGACAATTTTTTATTGATTTTCAATGTTTCATTGCTTTATTAGACACTCAGGCTCTGTTTTCGTGTCTTTCATCTTACGAAGTCTATTTTGATAATTAATTGCCAGAAATTAGCAGCAGCAACGATAGGTTCAGAAGATGCCAGTGTGTCTGCCACAGATGCTACATATATTTGGGAGATTTATCTCGTTATAAAGAACTTCACCTGGTTGTCGAAGGACGTACTCCTGATTGGTATGTAGCAGCGAATTATTATCGGCAAGCCTCCGCTCTGTGGCCCGTCGGGGGCAACCCTCATAACCAGGTACTTGCACCAATAAACATGTGGAGCGCTATGGCAAGGTTTTGCTCCTTCTTCTTGTTTACGGTTGAGCTTCATGAATGTTCATAATTGAGGATCGGGACAATCTGTTTCTCCTTACAGTGCCTATTGTTGATACAATATTGGTGATGCAGCTCGGTGTGCTGGCCACTTATGCAGGAGACAACCTGCAGGCTTTATACCATTATCTCTACAGCTTAGCTGTGCCTCTTCCCTTTACCACTGCTCGTGCAAATGCCAAGTTGCTCTTTGAGAAGGTATATATTCTTCGCACCGACTTTAAGCCTGCCTCTTTAACCTTTCTCGTTCCACTCAATGATGCATGTTCAAAAATTTCTGAGTTGGTTTGCTATGGCATGCTTAGCAGGTACATATTCGTTAACTCACTTGTATTGGGTGAGTGCAAGTTTGAGGCTTTGAGAATCTTGTTTTTAATCAAGTTTGAAAATCTTAAATTCCATACGTTCATGGTTACTTGCAGAATCAACATCATAATTCTCAGCTTTCGAACTCACCTGAAGAAGATGTGGCTATTGACATTCAAATGGCACAACCATTTGAGAGTCATACCACCAAGTCCAGCACCGAATCCCACAAAGAGTGTCCTCTTGCTAGACTGCAAAGACGGTTTCGTGTGCACTTCATTACTATTGTTGGACTCCTTTTCAACAAATCAGGGTTCGAACCTTTCCAACCCACGTCTTCTCAGCTTTGTTATGTTGTCCAATTGGATTTGTTATTTATCTTTGTCATGCTCGTGAAGCATATCCTCTTTAAGTAGTTTAGAAACGTCTTAGTGCAGAGCCTCACCCTTCTATTAACGTCTTGGACAGACTGGAAGAAGTATCTGAACTTTCTAAGCCACTACTTCGAGAAGCGCAGCTGCTTCTCTCTCAAGACAATACGCTTATTACATCCTCTTTCACCCTCGAGAAATCGAATCCTTTCAAGAATCAAGCGTTCAGCGTCATGCAACTGGTGGTACTATTAATCCTTTCCATCCACAATGTCGGGCCCAAGAAAGAGAGGAGCAGTTGCAATTCAGATGGACCAGAGATATCACCGTTTGTGATGCAAGCCATTATATTTGCTTTACAATTCACGACTGTTGTGTTACAGCATTGCACAAGAACGGAAGAGCCATGTTGCAGCCATTTGTTCCCTGCGATAGTAGTCTTCTGCAATTGGCTTGCGAGCTATCCTGACTTTGTCCAACAAATACAGGGCGATGAAGACTGTGAAAAATCTCTTCGCAGCTTTGGGAATGAAGTATGCATACTTCTGTCCAAGTGTCTTCAACAAGTTTGTTTGGCGAAAGGCCATGATAACGATTGCATAGCCTTTTCTGAGAAGGAGGGTCAACATGGAACTGAAACGATTCTATGGGAGGATAAAGAATTGTCCGGTATAGTTTCTTTGAAGTGTTTAGACACTTCCGAGATTGCTTTGAAATCATCTATGCAGGCAAAGAGTGGACCAAGTGCAGCTGAGTCAGCTTGCATAGTGCGCATGGAGCGTCTTACGAAAGCCTTGACGTTCCTTGGTTCCATAATTAAATCGGAATATTTAGAACATGAAATCACTAACGTTGTCAGCAAGTTTCCATTTGGATTGGCCTCTGGGAGAGCGAGTTCTGAAAGGAATAAATATTCTCAATCCTCTGGAGCCTCAGTTAGAACAAGGGATGGATCATTGGAACCGAAAACTCAAGGCCCGTCTATTGTGCAGCGTAGCTTCGAGATAAGTCTGGCAAGTCATTGTAGGAGAGAGGACCAAATTTTTTTAAAGTCCAAGGAGCAGAAGATGGAACCTGCTGGGCATCTCAAATCCACTAGACATTCATCCGGTATGGTACTCTATCCTCAAAGCTGAGCCTACTGGTTTTATCTGTTCAAATAGATTTAGCATTCTTCGGCTGGTTTCGACTTTGCCTGGTATGCATAGAATTGATTTGTGAACAATCGGTTCATGGATTTGCAAGGTCATCTTTTACCAGCAACACTTCAGGAATTAGCTTGCTTGCGTGTCTTATCTATGCGGCTCCTGCGCCCCTGTTTCTCTGTAAACAATTTAGTACTGTCCAGAAGCTATAACGTCCTGTGCAATGATATGGCTGACAAGTCGACGTCTGACACCATTGAAGTTATAGTATGATGTCGATTCAGAAATTTCTGTTCAACAAAACAAATATCCCTGCATTAGAATTAAAGCTTTGTAACACGTCAGGAGGAACAATTTTACAACAGTCAGGAAGTGAGCTTTGCGACAATAATCCATCAGAAACAATCGTGGAAGATCCTGTTCGCTGTAATGTAGAGCACAAAGACGACGGTGCACTGGGTTCCGCTGGCCGAGGGCTGTCTCTTGGAGACTGGGTAAAAGCGCCCAACGCGTGCAACGATGACAACGTTGATCCGTCCCCGGCCTTCAATAAACGGAGTATGTCCCGGCCCGGGTTGCCAGAGGCTTCACAGCAAGCTCACATTCACTCATCAGCTGAAGAGTCATTCATTCCAAGTCTGAGCTTCAAGTTAGCTCCTCGTGTGACACCAAAACCTCCCCGTGCTCTATCTTGCAGCAATCTTGTACAGTCCGAAGCTGGTGAACCAAGAGGACTGCGACAACCTCCAGATTTGTCAAGATCTAATGCCCATGTAGCCATATCATTAAATCTGCCAGGCTCCATCCAAGTCCCCATTGATCTTGATTGCAAATCGCCGCTTAATGTAGAGAAGGATGCGATCAAGGATGAAGACGTCAATCTTAGCCAGATCAAAAAACGGAGATTTGGGTGTCACGAGCCTTTGAGAAGGCCTGTTTCAGATGGTAACATAGTTAGTGAAGCAACTCATGAAGAAGAAAGCACGAAGAGAGGACATGGTGCTGATATTGAACCAGGGCAACAGAGTTCCTTGACAACTACCGCGAAGGACGCTACTTTCGTAGCCCATGTTTCTGGTGAACAAGAAAGGAGCGTTTCTATTCAAGTGGTGCTAGATCAGTCCGTTCAAACTCCTGTAGGTCACATGATTGTTGATGACGTTGAACGGGCTGACTATGAATCTATTGCCACCGGAGATTCTAAGCTAGCTGCTCAAGAAGAAGGCAATCAATACCTAGCTTCTTCTGCGAAGGCTTTGGTAGATGCTCCCAAAGCAGCTTTGGAGGACTGCTACATTGGAGGTCAAGGCAAGAAAAGGAAGCATGAAACTCTAACACCATTGCCTTCCTCAAGATGTCAGCATTGTCAAGGTGTAAGCCCAGGCGAAGGTGCAAGCTCAGAGAAGGTGAACTGGTGCGCACCCCAAAGTCGAAAACAAAAGATTGATGTCAATGCGGGGTTTATGAGGCAGAGACAAGGATGGGGCCAACCTTGCAAGGATCCTCACCTTAGTGCCTCTTGCTGTAGCCTCTCAGAGTTGGACGGGAGGATGTACTGGCTTCCGGCCTCATCCAAGCGACTTCGAGTGATGAAGGAATGGGAGTGCGAGGAGGACTACAGTTGGCTTGACACATACACTCATGTTGTACCACGATCGTTATCAACACTAGCGCATGCTATGAGTGTATCCTCGTTCTCATTTTCTGAGTTTGGGGTTTTCCGTGAGTATGGAGCAAGTGCAAATGGTGCCAGATTAGCTTAGTACCTCATGTGGTCGTGACAGTGCACCAGAATGTCGTTTCTCGGACAGTTCACGCAAGGGTTATTGGTATACTAATAGAATTCTTATAGGCAAGTTGAGTGGGTCCTATTCTTAATTGTCATGGGATGTGTTATTATGATAGTTTCCATTCACAAGGTAAAATTTCCCAAGATGCACAACAAACCATATACATTGTGGGCGACAGACAACTATTTCGAGCTCAGGAATCCTTACCATTCGTTTGTAAACTCGATTTAGTAGCTGCCCATTGCGTTATGGATTACTCGTGTGTTCTCTAGCGTGTCATAGATTCACCGAAAGTGCGATACTAGTTGGTAATCGACAGGAATACAATAGCAGATCTTGTCTATGAAAGTGACGTAGTAGAGAAGAGCTGAAGCCCAGCCTAAATCCAGCACCGCAGCGTATCCTGCGGGCTGAGTTTCAAAGATTGCAGCCCGCAGTGGGTGAGGAAAGAATTTTTTTGTCCATGTGCTCGTGTTTTGCATTTGGAACGCGTTCAGAACCGACGGAGAGAAATTGTTGAAAACAGTGAGTTTTCATTTCCCAAGCATTTCGATTGTTGTGTGGGTGATCCTCCCTTGGCTTAGAAGTTGGTCAGCGAATGCCACTAACGTCCCAAGAAGCGTTTTGCTTTAGAGGTTCTCCATTCTAGTGTTGATTTGTTTGACCCTTGTGCATCTATCGTTTAGGTGGAAGGTTGGGTCGACATGCGTCTCTGTGGTCGTTTGTTCACTGTCGTAGAATCAGTTTATGCTTGTGGATTTGTACACTAAAACTCTTGACTGGCGGTGAAATGCAGGTGTTGCTGAAATATTTCAAGCTCGTCCTGTGAGGATATGATCGCGAGATCCCACTGGGGTGTTCATACTAAGGAACCAGCTGAGTTGCAGCAAGCCGAAACGTAGACCATGAAGGTATGAGCTCATCCACACTCATCACTAGGGGTTTTTTTTTTTTTTTTTTTTTTTTTTTTTTTTTTTGTTTTGTTTTGTTTTTTGTTTTGTTTTGTTTTGTTTTGTTTTGTTTTTTGTTTTTTTTGTTTTTTTTGTTTTTTTTGTTTTGTTTTGTTTTTTTTTTCCTGAACTTACAGATGTCTTAGACTCACCCATTTTCTGTATGCTTCCCAAAAGCTGCTGCTAGATTGTGAGAGTGTGCAATGCTGATTGTGTTCACAACCTGCACCAGGCAAACAATGCCAGAGTAGCTCTGCAACATGGATCAACTGTGGATGCATCGATGGCTTTTTCTCTTGAATTCAAGTTGGTTGCTGGTGAATGGCAATAAGGCAGGCGAGGTGCTGTTCAGAAACGATTTAGGTGTTTTTTAAAGTTATTTGTATCCATATGAGTTTTTTAAATTTTTTTGTTATGTTCTTCTTCTTGTAGGATGAGTTGTTGATAAGATAATTTTAGAAATTATTTGATGGTTTTTTATTCTTATTTTTATTTATTTTTATTAAAATTTTGCAAATCCAAAATATTGCGTGCTTTTACTACTAGTTTGGGAACTCCTTAGTTTTTGGAACAAAATCAAAGTAAAATGGTTTTGATGCTCTTTTCACAACAAAGGAAAATGTTTTGTTAAAAATCATTTGCTGTGTGATTCTTAGAAATGGTTTGATGGTTTTCTTACTCAAGTTTTGATATGAAATACATGTTCCAATGTTTCTTTTTACACAAACACATGGCAATAATGTTTTTTAACAGAATGAGGGTTTGAGATTTTATTAATGAACCTTTTCTGCATCACTTTCATAGATAAATCTGGTCACGTCTCCGAATTGTTGTGGAAATTTTACTGTAGTTCCAAAATCTCACCCTACAATCTTGCATTGTTTTGGCTCAATCACATCTTTGAAGCTGCATTCCTTTAGGCTCAAAAAAACTCCAAAAATTCAAGAAGAGATCTACACTAATTCAGCTTTGTGAATTTCATTCCTCCTTGGTCTAATTTTAGATCTGAAAATTAACCTATTGTAAAATGAAATAAGATTAAAACCTATCTAAATTAATATGTGCTACTACCTCTAAGACTCCTTTCTTCTCATTGAAATATTTTTTAAAATACTTTCTTACAAAAATGTAACGACACCTTGGATCTGCTTTCTACGTTTAACTGTTGGATTCATTAGTACCATAAATTTTCGCATTTTCAATGTAAATTTCATCTCCAAGCTATGTTTTTTTTTATTATTGTGATAAATTAATCAGTCAAATGATAAAATGCAATCCATTTGATGTACTTCTACATTTATTGTAATAATCTTTTTCTTCTGTTTATCTCAATTAATTTGTTACTGGAAATTTGTTCATGTAACCATTGTATTTGTTACCAGTGAAGTTATTTGAAAAGCATGGATATATTCTTTTCTAATGCTGCTTCTTTTTGCCTAAGTGTTATTTCTTTTTCTTTTTCTTTTTCTAAAAACTAATAGTCTTAATGCTATGTTGAAGAAAATGATTCTTATTTATAATTATTTTTCGCTAGCCCTCCAAGTGTAATGAAATCTTACAATAGATTTATTATATTAAGTAATATCATTTAAAATTATTGAGTTTAAACTATCTATTAGTTGTTGATAGGATTTTAAGTAATTAATCAAAATAATAATATATTTTTAAAATTTTCGAACTGTTTAGGTTATAGATGTATATGTATATATATATATATATACACACACACATACACTTGTGTATTAATGATAATGATTAAAACTTTAAAAATTAATATTTATTTTATTTTAAACTCTACTTATCATCTTTATTTTTTATATCATTTATAAAACATAATCTGGTTTTATTATTATTATTATTATTAAATATTTGATATTCCTAATATTTTTCATAAATATCTATTCATGGACGATTTTTAAAATATATAAAATATATGTTTAAATTTTGTTTCTATAGGTTAAAAATATTACAAAATTAAAACTCTACAAGTGGTGTGCTAATCTTATATCTTCTTTGACTTATACAATTATTCCAATTTTATATCCTTCACTTCTCTTTCCAATATCTTTTGTTGAATATAAAAGATCATATATCTTGAATACTAAATTTTTGAATGAACATGATATGTAGAATTTAGCTTTTTTAAATGATCTAAATAAGCTAAGTTCATATTCTATTTTATTTTTTAAAAATCACTACATTATAAAAATCCTTTGAAAGCTTTTGTACATACTTTACAAAGTTTGAGAGTGACTAACTTTTTTATATGTTATAAGAAAATTTGACACACTATGTTCTATTTTAGAGTTTGTCTATATTTTTTAATTAAAGATTATGGCATCATATTGCTTCCTAATTATTCAAAAATAAGTACTTAATATAAGTGACCACAAAGACATCTTCTTTTAATATTAATTGTTGTAAATCAAAAGCAAGCAGAGGTCTTTTCCATAGCCACCAATTTCTTAGTTGGTATAATAAGCCAGTACCTTATTTCTATTCTTTGAGCTATTTTTAACTTTCTAAAAGTAGTAAATTATTATTTTTATTGTTTTATAGAATATTGAGATGGTTGCTTGATTCATCTTCCTATTTTATGTCTTTGTGTATTAAAAGTGTATTTTCATATGTCAAACAAGAGAAATTAATGTATATATTTTTTAAAATTTTACTTTATTTCATAATATTTTAAATTTTATTTGGAATATGTATATATATATAAGGTTATTTAGAAATTTTTATTGAAATATACACAACACAATTTTTCTTTAGAAGACTACATATTTTTACATCATATTTATCAAATTTGTATTAATTTATTCAATAAAATTTTATTGAGATTTATTAAAGATTTTTCATTGTTCTAAACTAGATGAAGAAAGATGCTTGAGTAGATTAATTGATTTTCTATTTATAAATTTATATTAAAAAATAATGTATAATGGGAGAAATTGTTGTTAAAGTATTTTTAATAGAATTAATGTTTTTTAGTTGTGTCTTCTTTTTTAAAATAATTTTTATCTTTTAATATTGTATATATCTTTTAATATTGTATATATCTTTTAAGATCATTTTCATTGCATTTTAAATATTTCTCTACCTTTTATATAAAAACTTACCAAATTCAATATATATGTATATTTAAAAGTATAAAAGTAATAAAAAAAATTCAATCCACTGATTAATTTTGTATTAAAATAGACCATCTTAAAAAATTTAAGTCTAAAGAACAAAATATATTCTTTGGTCGCAATTTATGTCAATTTGTTAAAAATTGATGTCAAGACCAAAAAAGATGCAAGTAGTTTATATTTAGATTTTTCTTTTAACTATTAGTTGATCTAATAGAATTTTGATATTACAAAATTCCATTTTTTTTTCCTAAATAATATCTAAAATAATAGTTAAATCATATGTGTACTGACTAATAAAAAATTAAATTTATTTTTTAATATTTATATATGAATAATTAAAATATTTAGATAGCATTTAAAATACTACCAATTATATATAAGAATATGATATTAAAAAACATCCTTCTCTAACTCATCTTTGTATGAGGCAATTCGGATTTTAAAACTAAAAAAAAAAAAAAAAAAAAAAAAAAAAAACTACTATTATTATTAATTACAACTCCACCTTAATAAATGAGAGTTTTTTCATACTTATAAATTAACGACTTCAGCCAAAAACTTCTATAGTTTTAAACGAAAATACTAAAGAGATATAATAATATACTTTAATGTATTAATATCAAAATATCATTAAATATTTTTTATAGAATTTATTTCAAGTAAATTTTTTTATAGACTAAAATAACATTATCTAATGTATGCTTGATATAGACCAGTATAATTTGATTTTGGTTAATCATGTTTACAACTATATAATAAATCTCTAAGTTTTATAACCTAGGTTAGGATTTTGTAAGTGGTATTTAATAACATAATGGATTTTTAATTACCAAATATATTTATAATATAGCTTAAAGAATAACACAATAAAATCCTTTACTATAAATTTAAGAAAAAAAAATTAAATAATTTATAAATTAATTTTGCATAGTGATATTTAATAATCGTTTAAAAAGTTTTAAAGAATTCAATACCTAAGCCATTTGATACCAAGGGCCTTTATGTTGTATACGATGTTTTTTTTTTTCATAAAATACATGTTTTAATTTTTGTTTTATAAAATAATTTTTTGATAGTAGTTTGTTGTATGACCAATCTATATTAAATACATTTTTCTATAATTATTGAAAATAAAAGATAGACATTAGAATGTATTATTAGTAGCATAGGAATTGGTAATGTTAAATTAATAGTAAAAAAATTCTATCTATTTCAAATATTTAAGGATTTCAATATTTAACTTATTAGTTATTTTTATGTACTAAAGAAATTTATAATTTTCTAAAATGCCAATATAAAATAAAATCTATATTTATTTTATATAAAATATTCTTGATTAGAAAATACATTAGTAAGTTTAAGTATTTTTAAAATTTTAAATATGGAAAAATATTCTTAGATTTTTGAATTTTTTTATCAATGGTATTATCTAAGAAAATGTATTTATAAGAATACAAAACTTCAATCATCACTATCCATATAAATGTTAACCAAATTAACTTAAAGTTGTCACTTTACTAATAAAATATATTGGATTGACACACGACTTTTAACTAAAACTTAACAAATAAAATAAGACAAAATCTGTGAGAGCTCAAAATAGTGCAAAAATTGCTCAATAAGTCCTTACATCTCAACATAAGTTCTCACAATAGCCAATATATGTTGCAGAGGACTAAAGAGTTTCATTCATTCATTTGATCATTCTTCCATGCTCTAGAATGTATTCTAAATATTTTGTAGATACAGCATATTATGATCCAAAATTTTGAAAACCTTGAAGGATATGAACTGCAAAATTTTATACAATATTTAACCACTCAAACATTTTTTATGTGGTCATGTTTGACCATTCAAATCTTTTCAAGTTTATCAAGTTGGTAAACCCATTGACAAAACTAATGTCGAGTATGTTTGGATTAAATAAATTGTATCTATTGAATACACTAAAAGTACATAAATATGAAAATTTTATAAAGCATATAACTTGATATAAAAAAAGACCATTAAAAAAGTAAACAAAACATATATATAATTTTGATCTTTATTTATTTCTTTGATTTAAATAGCCACCACCTTATGAAGGTAGCAATCATGGTAGCTATTTTAAGCTTAGTGTCAAAAAAATTCAAGGTTTCAAACTATCTTAATACATATAATTGTAGTAAAGAGCACATTAAGTTGCAATAAAGTTGCAAAAAAGAACCTTTTGCAAAAGTAACAATTACAATGAAGGTGAATGAAGTTGCAATAAAGAACTCTATGTAAAAAAAATTGATATAAAGTGGTCAATTTGTAATCCAATATTAAAAAAATAATATATGTTAAAACATAATATACCTCAACAACCAATTAATGCCCCTTATTGCAATTAAAAATAAAAATAAAAATATTATATTGCATAAAAGAAT